GACATCTAAATTCAATTCCAATTTTACCGTAAACTGGAAGAGTGCAAAGAATGCGCAAAATGTTCACAGGTTCCCGATTTGAATATGATCACATCAGCAGGTACGCCATCACTCAGGTACAGTCAGATCACGTCAAAGTAGTAAAATAATAAAACTTTATCCTTCACGTCAACGTTTTGAATAAAATGCAAAACGTGTCTGGGATGCAGCCAAAACGGCTCGGCGTACCCCGAGCCTCGGCCCCTTCTCATCTGGAAAATTGTGCTTTCCCAACTAAACCGTTATTTATTACCAACTAGTTGCCGTACCCTCGCATGCAGCGCAGATTATTACACGGAAATCAACTTAACTGCTGATTTAGAATGAATGAGTATCTATGCGCCTGCAACTTGTTCTGCACTAATATGCAGTTCCTCACATTAGATTTAAATTATTGGAGGCTCGACTTAGTACTCATGTCGTTTTAAATGTCATTTCCAAAGGGAATACAAATTAATTTTTTAGCTCATTCTAATATGCTAATTATGAGACACAACTGTTAATTTGAGGATTAAGATTCCTTACGCTCATGTTAATTTACATGTAATGTTTCTAAGTCTAGAACATGTTTAGAATCACAAAACATATTTACAATTCTTTTCGTTGAAAAATAACGAACATCTAAAGAATTGAGCGCAATATGAATAATTGAATAAAAGAAATATTATATTTGTCCGTGATCCCCAATGGCGAAAAGTGCAACGTGTAACCCGGTGCGTCAGTGCCCGTCCTCGAGAGCTTGTTTACTTAACATAATATTCTGCGCGGACTACGAATTCACTCGTATCCTTGCGTTTTATTGAATCAAAAACCTTCGCTACAAATGCATCTAATTCAGTCCCTCTATACATACTGAACTTTCTCTACCTCCACAAAACTTTCACACAAACAAAGAATAAACATTGAGCTTTTGTATTATTTACGGTCATTTGTATCAGTTCTGCTTAGTAAGTTCTTTATCGGTTTCAGTCGGGAGGGCATTTCTGTGGGCAGCCCTTGTTCACCCAAACTTGGAATATAAATTTGGCCACGAGCCTGCGCGTTGTTTGTCCGACAATAGGCACCCATGCCAACATAAATTATCGGACAACATTCGTCTCTAGTTTACCGACAACAATCGGCAAATATTTACATACCTTGCTAGTACAGCCACTGATATTTTTGTAACGAAATATTCTTTCTCCCTTGACTTATTTGAGCAATAATACACGCTTCTAGAGACAGCCTTTTAGATGTATGAAAACTTTATCGAGAGTAAGAAATAGGATTGAATACATTTTTCCTCATAAGCAAAGCGAAGAAATGATGCATTGTCGCGCATCCTTACATTTCCAAGGCGAGGATTAAATCCTTTATAAGACGTCTGGAAATCTGAAAAGAGGCTTACACTTTCTGTACTGAATAGAAACTCGTAAAACATTCTGGAAAATCCCGATTTACGTCCCCATAAGACGTACACCTGAGTAAAATAGTTGAGTACTTTACTAGTTGTTGTAGGTACGCAGAACATTTGAACAGCGATAAACTTTCTTCACATACTACCTATGCTATGTGCTTACGAAAGTAATACGATCAGTTTTCCAGTATCGTATAAAATACGAGAATATTCTAGCGATTTGAAAATTAGTTTGTAAATGTTGGAAAGTCCACCAGCTCTATACTTTCACAGTGCAAAATAAGAAGCTATACCAAACTGGCCATACCAAGCTCATCATGTGAATCTCCCTAATATCTTCTGAATGAGAATCGGAAATGATGATAGTTATTGTTAATGATTCCTTCGACGTGATCGGGAGGAGATGACTTGCAATGGAGATAGATACATAACGCATCATAGCAGTGATTTATCCGACATAACATAATAACAACATATTTTCCATCATTCGTGTTTATTTCGCAACCTTGTCGTAATTTTGAGCTCGCATATCCAGTAATTCAATTAAACCTCATTAGCAATGTTTGTTAGGTAAAGTTTTGTGAGAAAGCCTGAACAAAAATATTCGTAGCTATTCATTATCTTCCGTCCGCACTGCCTTCCGCTCTTTTGTGCAATTTTAAGGTTGCCTCGCGCAACTATCACATTGTACAATTTAATCAACATCTTTAATCAATGCAGCGGACGCCATCGGCGTTTTTAAACAATAATATTATTTTGTATGTTATTTAATTATCACGGACAATGCATTTTAATATTTCAGTATGTATATTTATGTATGAATTTTGCTTAATGACAATTTTGGGTTGTTTTGATGTATTATTTATTAGGGTTGTAATTACGGATTCGTTCGGTATAAGTAGTGCGTATAATTATCATGGATCATGCGGGGTTGTGGGAGAGTGCGCACACTCGTGTATGGGCGTACGCCTCATTAAATTTTGTTTGAATAGAGGGATGAACCGACCGGCTGCCTACTTGGTCAGATACAGGTTGTACTGATCGCAAATAAAATATCAAATATTTAGTGTGACAAGGAAGAATTTACATTATGTACCTCATTGTGATACGACTACACTAGAAAATGGTTTCGGCCTAATTCTGGGCCTTATTAAGTAATAGTAAATGAGACGGTGTTTTTATAATAACTATCGTGAGACATAATAAATTAACTAAACATCGCGGGTTACTCACTCCCTTCTGTGGTTCGAAACTAGTAGAGCTTTTCTCAGTATAATCACGTGAGTAACCCGCAATTTTTAGTTAATTGAGACGGTCTTTAGAATAGTGTCCGGAGTATAACAATAAAGCTACATAACTAGACTGCTTTACTAACTCCATTTACCCCTTTGAAAAACAAAAGACGTAATATTCAATTATATTATAAAATAAATCACGTAAGTAATCTTCCACATTCGCATTCAGAACAAATACACATACAGGATAAGCTCTAAACAAATTATGTAACAGCAGACGGCCTTCTACACTAGCTAACCTATTCCGGAAAGCGCAGTTATGTACTCGTACATCTATTACGTTGACAATACACAATAGGAATAAACGTTCACAAGTTACACCGGTTTTCGTTACGTCTGTCTTAGCAAGTTGCTTTCAAGTACATTTTGCACTTCACTTAGACAAAAGTAAGTTCCGTATCTTAGACTAGTTTGTGTTGTGTAGAACATGTGGTGCCTCTTTCATCATTGTAAAAGAGAATTGCAAAGAGGAAAATTCCAATTATGTACCTACAGGCATTTAAAGAAAATTAAAGATTTAAAAGTGTTGCCTACTATTATTTTACAACTATGTATTTAATCTATACTATACAGTTTTCTAATATAAAACTAGGATTACTTCAAAAAATAAAACCAAAATTTTATTTTGATTTCCGTACTATCGCTACCGGTATAGGAGCATCGGCTGAATAGTTCCAGACGGGAGGGAGCCACAAACATCACCGCTCCATCACCGCGCCATCTCGCGAGCAAACACTTACATACCTCGGCCATTCACACACATACACGCACACACTGAACCCTCAACACGGTCACAAAAGGAGGCATGCTCTTTCACAACGTGCCAGAGTCCTGTCTTATGATCGAGTACGTAATAGCTGCTCATTCAAGTCTCAAAGGATATAGAAACTTAGTATCAGGTCTACCGTACATATGTAGTTTACCAAAGTGATATCTATAGGACATAATTATTAAGGGTTAGCTCAGTTATCAATCCTAATATATGTTATAATCAAATTCTAGTTATATAGTTACAAATAACAGTCAGTAAAGTAATTTGAACATCATCCCAGCTCCCAGCCCACTGAGCACAGACTATCCAATAAAGGCGTGCTCAAGTTGGTACATAATAATACTCCATAAATTCCCTTACCCATTGCGATGCACTCGGTGCCAACAATCGGAACTCACTAAGCATTCAAATGGTTTCAATACGTTCCGCTATGCAGCCTCGTCTGAGCCGGTGGTAGGCACAATGGATGCCAATCTGCCCGGGAATTTGGCTTGGACGCATCCACCTATACATGTAGAGTCCCTAGAGATGTCACGTTGAGAGGTGCGGTATGTACTTAATTACATGTACTGACGTCCACAGTCCTTACTAGAACTTTGCTCCAGACGGACTCGAAATGAAATGGACCTCAAATAGCATCTCTATTTAAAACTATTCAGTCAAGACTTTATTCAAGAATTCTATCAATAAACAGCCATATTTCTGAGAACTCTTGCTAATGGTTGCGGCCTTAAGATTAGTCCCTCGAATGGCGCCTTCAAATGCCAAAACCCCACAAAGGATGCCAATCGTGAATTGCCAACCGTAATCATTGGGAACATCGTAAATTATACAGCTTTATAAACAGGCGAGACTGAATGTACTACAACGGTATATAAATAAGGGCTTTAAAGATAATGATTGAGATACTTAGAACCCGCACAGATAATGAACTCGATGCTGCCAAAATGTAGCACATAATTGACTACAAGCTTTCAATTCATTATACAAATCAGAACCAAAATCAATGTAAAATATTATCACCGGCGTAAATGATTGCCGATAAAATATATCCGAAATTGAATTAAAACAACAATGTTTCAATGTGTTGGGAATACCATAATAATTACGGAGGCAATGAGCAATCGGTCAAACATGTTTATATTAAAATTTGTATTGGTTTTGTGCAATGAAATCGGTCGCCCGCTGAAATGAGACGGGTGACCGCGACCCGACGTTTTGCATATCGACTGATTATTTTGTCCGTCGATGCGTTGTGGTTCACGGGTTGATTTCGTATTCATTCATACGAACATTAATACCTACACGAATTATGTTCCTCTGAAATCAATTTTATTTATTTTGTGTTCCTTTTTTTACTGCTATCCTTATACTTTTCAAATCCTTAATAGTTGTTTTGAATTGTTTCAGGTTTCACCACAGAATGAGGTTGTCCTACGGTACAGCGCGACTCCACCAGACATCCATCTAATTTGTGAATAGTACACAATCAAACGCCATGGATCGAAGATTATTTGCTGTTTTGGCGATAACCGCCCATTTATGTAAGTGAACACGTTTCATTCAATGCTAACTACACAATTTTAATTCCCTCAAAGGACTTGGTAATAAAATAATATTCATATTCTCTGAAACTTCATTGTAACCAATAAAATTTCATAGCATTTTCTCTACTTAGTACACATACACAAAGTAACAAAGTAAAAATATCTCAGTCGTACGATATTTCTGGAAAGCATTTGTGTACTTAGTTCTTTTGTAATAAAAGACAAACTATAGATAGAACTACTCCAATATCCGAACTAATATCATGAATTCCTGTGGCGGGGTATCACAGGAGTGTATTCCACAGAATTTGTTTAGAAAATATTATACCACAAATATTTTCGATGACGAAAATATTCCAATAAATTCATATTACTCTCGCAATGTAAATACATTTGAAAAAGTTTGAATAGAACTTACGAATGCGTAAATAGGGTAAACATGTCAATACGAAAACTCATGAATAAGGATTATCGACTAACAGCTCATGAGAATATGTGTGAACGTGTATTAGAAGGACAAAAACACAAAGTTTTGGGACAAAGTAATTGAAAGAACATCGATTGGAATAGCGGTGGACGGGAGAGGTCCTCGATCCGTATCTAAGGTGGACTATCTCAGCCCACTTGCCAGCAAATGGTGTGGAAGTAACAAGGATATAGCGACACGATCCTGGAATTTGTTACCGACTTCCCAATGCCAGAGGCACAATTGAAATTTTATATTGTTACGCGCACTCCGATAGAAGTCAGTTTAGTAGATACGTCTCGTTGAAACATGTAAGATACTGACTTTTATGTGAAATGGTATTTTGAGATACTTTTATTTCATAAAATTTTAAATATTATTGCGATATAAAAGCTGGAACGTTTATTTTCATTTGAAAACGATTTAGATAATAATATATCGTGAACTTACTACACTACTACACACAAATGGGCTCGCAGAACTCATTTAATTACTTGTGTTTATTAGTAGGACGGAGCATAGTTAACGAAACCCTTTTTGTATGGCTTAAATGTTGAATGTTACGGAAAACAACAATCCTGTGGTCATTGTTTAGAAATATGTAACTAAAGCGAACTTTTCTTTGGTAAGGTGCCAGTCACCCGCGTATATTTTCATCACATGTATTCATCAACTAAAATAGAGAACATGCTATAATGACTTAAACAACGTTGTATCAGAATAAGAAAAAAAAAACACTTTATAAAATTCGCATACCCAAACACAGCCATGCCATTAGTCACAACCCACATTCGAGGCGAAGCTCAACATTTGTTTTCATATCAACCACTTTTTCTTAACGTTCACACATCATTAGGTTAACTATGGCCGTACCTCGACAATGACTTTGTTTGTAAACAGTCTCTTTTTTAAGCCATATGAAGGTACTATCACAGATCATTTGCCAGCCAATGGTACCGAAGTAACGCTGTTACTGGCTTTTCGCCTTTATCAATACATTCTGCTCCGAGTTTTCATCATAAAAACTCTCGCAAGCGAGCTTAACATGAAGTGTTCTTAGTTTGATCGGTTATACAATGTTTAGATAAATGCTCCATAAAAGTCAATTAGCTTTTCTGAATATTGTTACAATATAATCTTAGTAGACCCGCTCACACGTTCATTGCGGCTCATGTTAGAGGTGAGCTTATTGCCTTACAACGCTATCGCAGTTTATTAATATGTTGAATGTTAATGTTACAGGTAGTATAGCTTTGGCTGACGGACCCGTTTACGATGGACAAGGCAACCCAATCAACCCTTCGCCCGCTGGCAACTTCCTCACTCAAACTGTTTACGGTTTTTTGGACTTCACCACAACTATTGGCAACACAGTCATGGTCTTCTCACCCCAGTCTGCACCACCACCAGGTCAATTCTTTGTTATATCTACATTAACTTAGACAACATTATTTGTACTTATACTCTATTTATTTTTGTGATTAGAAATAGCGAACTCACAATATTGTTTTATATAATTCCAGAACCACCGAAAACCGAAAAATCTGTTCAAGAAAACATTATCGAAACAAAACCACCTCCACCATCAGTCACCAGTATAAAGCCTGAAGCGATTAAACCAAGCAAAATTTCCGATAAAGATAAAACTAACAAGCCCGCCGCCCCAGCAGTAGTATCTAGTGCTGTCTCAGTTGTATCATCACCACCGAAAAAGGACAATAAATCTCCGAATGTACCTAAATCTGTCGCAAAAGAGCAAAAACAAATCATAACGAAAGTAGAAGTGGTCGCTGGTCCGTCCAAAATCGTCGAAAGCAGCTCTCCTAAGCAATCATCCCAAAAATCAAACAAACAGAACTCACAATCGAACAATAAAAATAAGAAAAACGATGGCGTGAAATCTGTCACCAATGTTGTAAGCAGTAAAGTTGAAGTAAAACAAGGACCTCCTCCATCGATAGTAAGTCCCAAAGTCAGTAGCGTCGTTGCAGTTAAATCTAGCAAACCTGAGGAAGAGCCCGCCATCTTGATTACGAACAATAACATCGGTGAACCTGAATATGACTTTTTATCACGTCAACCCTCTGAATTTGTTGAAGAAACATACAAAGTTATTAACATACGACCCTCAAAAGCACCTGGTCAAAAACACAAGCACGGGCATAAGAATAGGCATCAACCGACTCCACCTCCAGAAGATGACGATGACCATCCCCTCGGCTTAGTAACAACGCTCGGAGGTACGATTGTTAAAGACGGCTTAACGACAGTTCATGAAACTAGCGTCATTGGTACTTTTATATCTGGTAAATACGCTCAGGTACTGAACAGCAATTCAAAAGTGCTACCACAAGCTGGGCATAGGGGAAAGATATCTCCTACTCCTACTCATCGAATTTTGAAGACAGTTGGACCTTCGATATCCAAAAATCATAGGCAACATTTGGAACCGACGCCATCCATTAATGATGATGATAGCAATTATGGAAAAACGACACGACGTCAAAATAATGGTGGAGGAAACTTTAAAAACCGTCACAGAGTTCAAAACAACAATGCAGAAACTGAAAGTCACAGCAGCCCACCTCCAGCCCAGAGCAAAAAATTCAAAAACAGAAACAATAATTCACAACGGACACAAAGGTAACTTAAGATTATTTTTTGGTACTTCCCATGAGGATCCCGAGTTCCTAAATTTTAATCACCTTTATACCTAAGTTTTATAGATACATACCTTTACTTCTGCTTTTACTAAGAAGAACTCATAACGTTGAATGCATGTTATTACGAATGTTGGAAGGTTTTCAGATGAATTTGCTAATGTTATTAGACTAACAGGCCCTAGTTACCATAAAAAAATCATTACATACATAACATAGATATAATAACAACATCATCTCGACACATAACCGTCGTACTATTGCCGACTATCCTACTTAAATGATTTTCTCATTGCATCTGCATGATTTCTGAGCTGATGAGTAAAGCTTACACGTAGTTAAATAATAATCACTGATTACTGGATCATCGGCAATTGTAAATATTTTATTTTCAGTACACGGTTTGGTCGCCCCGTGAATACGCCTCAACTGGCAACCGTCTCTGTTTTCAGTGAAACAGCGACTCCATCATTTTCCAACAGAAGAAAAAGCAACCGTAACTCTGGACATAAGACGACTGTGTCAGCCTCGAGCAACAACGACAGCCAATCGAAACGAGGATTCAAACCTCGGGTTCAGCCCACACCCGTTGAGCAAGTGACCCCAGCACCTTCTACCAGTGTGTATAAATTTAAGTTGAACCGCGCCCCGGGATCAGGCCGCTGGCAATACAAAACAAGTCCTAAGCCTAAAGTGACTATTCGCAAGCTTAACGCTGATGACGAGCAACCAACAACGCCTAACTCAAATCCGCTTCTTGATGATACGCAAAGCAATGATATATCGCCGCAAGCAAGGTCTGATAATGATTTAGAACTATCAGGTTCACAGAGTGGCCCCGGTACTCTCCTTGAAAGTGACACTGAGGACAACTCTATTGAAAAACCGCCGCCAGTGGAGACATTGAAAGTTGAAATTTCTACTCCCGCTGATTTCCGAGATGTTTATTACGAAATTGCTACTATCAAGTCTCCTTACACCTTCCAGGTAATTATTGGTCAAATACACATTGACTTTATATTTAACATAATTTTTCTAATAATATATTTTTTACTTCTAGGTTGGACGTGTCAAAAACACTCGGATAATTACAGTAACTTCTACAATTGAAAAGCGTATAGAACCCACGCAGGCAATCAACTCGCAAAGTTCTCTCAACGAACCGTTGACAGAAAACATATTAGCGACAGCATCTCCTTATGAAAAGGACCATAATCTCTTAGACTCAAGTATAGCTACTCTACCCGCGATAACATTATCTTCAGACATGGAAACACCGCCGCTAGAAACTGTTACTGAAACATTCAGCACAACTCAGCACATGTTGAAAACTCATATTTTACCCGTAGTGAAAGACGTAAACTTGACTAGTAGCTTAACTTTCATTCAAACTTATGAAGTTACTCGATTCGTAACTGCAACTAAAACGTTACCTCCTATGGACTTCTTCCAATTTATACCGAGCAAAACTCTTAAAGAATTTAACAGTCGTCTGGATGAAGCTGGTTCCGAATTACATTTGGAGTTAGACTTTGGTGATAGCAATGAAGACGAAGATGGAGTTCCAAGACGCGTATTCCCGCCAGACCTTGATCTCGCTAATATTGGATCAGACTTTGACCTTACTGAAGTAGACAAATACAGAATGCATGAAAATCATTTGAGACTTAAGAAAGCTCATGGTCAAAACAAAGGTAACCATGTGACTGAATCACCCAACCCACCCACTCCTGCATTGACTCCAGAACAGGCACAACAGCTTGCTCTCTTGAGACTCCTGAATCCAGCAGCGGCTGCTCAAATTCCTGATGTTGTCACCACATCTAAACCTATAATCAAGTACGAAACTATTTATGAATCTCACGTTATTCCAGTGTATGATGGCAAGACGACAGTTCAAAGTACTATTTCTAGGCCTATAGCTACTATAACCAAAACAGAATACGAAATCGGAACCAGCAGTTTACCAGCGCTGCCTTTACAAACACTCAACCCACTGTTCCCGCAGCAATTCTCGGTAATTTCAACGCCAGTCGTGGTGAACACAGAGGTTACAGCTACCAATAGTCAAGTATTGAAATTAACGTTTGGTGCGAAAACGGTGTACACCACCCTATTCACCACACAAGTTGTGCCAACCGTGTTGACGTCATACGTGACGTCATCGATCGCAGTGCAACCCACTGCTGCACCGCCTGCCTACCCTGGATTCTATCAGCCGCCATTCGCACCCTTCCCCTACGTAGGATAAGTAGACCTGTAAATATTGTAAGGAAAATCAATAAGTGCGGACTATAAGTTAAAAATTGTGTTCAGCAGTGTATGTGATGATAACACGTAACTTTTGCACGAGAAACGAAACTTTAAACTGTGAATGCGTTGTTGTAGTGCACGTGATAAACTGTATTGCGAGTAGGTGAACAGTAAACAGTGCAAAAGCAGCAGAACGGTGGGATTTATAGCCTTCGTGGAAACATGAAAACTCTGGAGTTGTATTTCTTATAAAGTTTTGTGTGCCCGGCGCTACGCGATGCGTTCGCTAGCAAACCGTACGTGGAGGTAATGTTTCCCCGTAATAGAGATAACTAATGTAACGCAATTTACTTCGTACCCAGTAATTGCTTTGTAAATAATTATTATTTATGAATAGTACTCTTGTACATAATTGTACCTAAACCTACCTATAGCTATAGTTGTAGATAGCTTCCATAAACGTATTTTTTACTTTTGTACAATACATGTATTGCTTAGAATAAGTGGGTTCTATACTATTAAACAAATAAATAAATATAACGTGTCTGTCTATAACTTATTTTAAACCTACTGAGATTGTATTATTAACATATCGTTACACATTGAACATAAGACAACTCACAAAGCACTGGGCTGGTTACAAAAACGTCCTGGGTTCGACTCCCAGTTTGGTAAAAATGTTAGTCTATGCTCGATTTATCAATTAGAAAGTAAATGGAGGCAGGTAGAGATGATATTATAGGTACCGACACCGCACATCATAATACTGCTACTCTAGTTGGCATACTTTATATTTTTTAGTTATTTGTCTAAACACATGTAATACGCCTTAAAGTTAACAGTTTGCTGAACAGAAAACTCCTTCTGAAACAACAGGCAATAAGTATTCAAGTAAAAATACAATTCATTACAAATCCAGACTTCTAGAGACTAATATTTTACTAAGTTGAGAGGTTTATTTCCCATGATATCTTAATTAAACCCGTTTCCTACTAAGCGGGGGCGCTGAAAGAAACAAAGAGGCCTTTAAGTTATGAAACTAAGATTAATGAAAGCCGTTTTGTGTACTTTATAAGTTAATCTAGAATTTGAAATGGTCTGGGAAAAGTACTAAATTCTGCCTATATTAAAATACGTAGGAAGAAAATCCTTTTTGCACATACGTTTACGTACACAGCATGTATCTAAACATAAACCAAGTAATTCTGTCTCTCTATCTGTGACACGTTCTCCCCTAAACTTCTGAACAGGTTACAATGAAATCTAGTACTAAGATAGGTCAGGTTTAGTAAGATTGACCTTGAGAAAGTAATTAAATGGTACCTTTAATAAGAAATAAGCAAGTCAAGTTAGTGAATTAGGTTACTATCTACAAGATGCACTCAATATGTTTCTAACAATTTTGCAATAAATGGTTGGCTGATAACGTAAGTATGAATTTGCTTTGCAACTGTACAATAAATAGGATAACCACTCAACTAAATATGAGCTTCAAATCGTAGTTACAAGTAAGTAGCAAGAACGTAAAGGAAAACCTACTTAGGACCGTATTATTAAAACCTGTAACTTTCATCATGAAAACGATGGTATTCATATGTCCTGAAAATAAATGTAGACATATACATATACCTAATTACCTAATCTATATATAAAAGAAAGTCGTGTTAGTTACACTATTTATAACTCAAGAACGCCTCAATCGATTTAGATGAAAATTGGCAGGGAGGTAGCTTAGAACCAGGAGACGGACATAGGATACTTTTTATCCAATACTTTTTTTACTTTTTACCGAAAATCACGAACGGGAACGGGGGGAAAATGAGATTGCGCGTACTGTTATACCCAAGGAATATCACACCTTATCCCCGTGACAGTGGTGACACTTCACTCCTCGCCTCAAATGCATACAACCCCATCCTATACAAAAACAGTCAGTCGCATTCCATCCACAATCCCGTGCACTCGTGGGTCACCCTTACCCTTTAATTTGTGAAGTCAAATAAAAGTTATTTTATTCTTCGAACTGCAGTGTTTCCTTTAAGAAGAGAACTTACCATATCAAAATCTAACAGTACGAAGTCTAATAAACAAAACATAAACTTCAACAACAAAGTAGGTATATGGTAGAAGTAGGTAGAGTAGAACACGTTAAAAATTTCGCACAAGAAACATCCTCACATAACCCACAATAAATTTCGGAAGACTGATAGTTATGCAAGTCGTAACACAAGCGTTTAATCAATTTTATTATATGTACATGTATAAGATTCCAAGCTACAAAATTGCTAGGTTATCAAAAATGAAGTCTACATAGTACATACATACTCTAAAAGACTATGAAATGAGATATGTGCTCATAACAAAAGATATAATATAACATCACGCCTTTTATGCCCGACGGGGTAGACAGAGGTGCACATTGTACCACTGTACAATTTAACACCCACTTTTCACTATTTATCTTATGAGTCCCATAATAGGTGGTGAGCCTATTGCCATATACCGGGCACAATTCCAGACTCCGTGCTACTACTGAGATTTTTTTAAACGCATATAATACTTTGCCCGACCCGGGAATCGAACCCGAGACCCAGGGCCGGATTTAGGGGGGGGGCAATCGGGGCGAAAGCCCCGGGGCCTCCACAAGCAGGGGGCCTCCACAATAGAGACTTCGGAAAAAAAAATCTTTCAAATTTCAACTAGTAAACCTAGTAAACATCTTTTCTTTGATATTTTTTTTCGCTTTTACCTTTACCTACAGCCTAAAGTACTTTATACATACATGATTATTTGATTATATTAATTTTAAATATTAACAGAAACAGAAATCATTAATCTATATTTGTTCACTCCAATCAGGCAATCAGTGAAATATCAAAATCTCAAATGGCTCTGATAAGCACTTCCAATTTACTACCCATCTTGTACCCCAATGGCTCAATGGCTCAGTGGGATGGTACTTGCCCGCAACCTCGGAGGTTGGCTATTCGATTCCGAATCTCGACCATTAAAAAAATTAATTGCAGTATGTGAATAATTGGTATTTTTCAATTCTTAAACTCGAAATCTATCGAGCATCCTCGATCGTTTTCGAGCGTTCTCGATTGTTTTCGAGCGTCCTCGATTGTTTTCGAGCGTCCTCGATTGTTTTCGAGCGTCCTCGAAATCTATCGAGAGTCCTCGATTGTTTTCGAGCGTCCTCGATAGATATCGAGCGTCCTCGAAATCTATCGGGCGTCCTCGAAATCTATCGAGCGTCCTCGAAATCAATCGAGCGTCCTCGATCGTTTTCGAGCGTCCTCGAAATCAAGCGAGCGTCCTCGATCTCAATCTGGAAAATAATTTGGGCAAAGGGGGCCTCCACTCCTTTGTTGCCCCGAGGCCTCTGGACCCCTAAATCCGGCCCTGCCGAGACCCCTTGTCTGGCAGTCGCACTTGCGACCACTCGGCCAACGAAGCAGATATGTGCTCAAATATAGAGGTGTAATATTTAATAGACATGTCGATTCACTATTCATAAATGCTATTCTATTCTACATTTCGAAGTATACTTAGCTAGCATGATAGAGGGCTGCTGATGAAGGCTTATTGTCTACTTGTCATGTTATCAGGTTTCGAGTACTCGTACCTTTGTCAGTAATCTGTCCATACCTTTCATGTGGGTCTATATCTGTTGTTATTGTTTCTGTATTTACAACTGAAAGCTTATTGTTTTGAAAATTCTGTATTAAAGACGTCCTTAGGTAATGACTACAATAGAAAATGAAATACCTAGTTACTCAGAGGTATATTTAGCTTTATCTTTATTAAACTAAGTGGGAATATATATTTTTGGAAAATGGCTTGTAAATCGATAGTAGGTAAATTTCATCAAACATAGCATTACATATTAATTAATTTATTTTGATTGTAATTGTAAAAAACTTTGCCAAGAACAAACCAGTGTAACAAAACTTTAAGGGAATATTGCTGGATAATTCTAGCGATGTATTCTCCTATCCTTTTAGAAGCTGGTGAGTGGTGACCATGTATGTCTTGCTGTTGGCGGGAAATATAAAGCTTGCACCTCTCAGCTAGTGTCAGACAGACACGAAGAGCCTCCACAATACCAAGTGCAAATACACATTGTACTCTCCTATTCTAGACTTAAGGTTCTTTATTAACTTTCACCGTCAATGTATTTTCTTCTTAAGTAAATAAAGTCATTAAGGTTATGATTTATTTTAGACTAAGTGAAGCAGCACAACGCACTAAGATGAACATAACGTTTTTAATGTTAGGATAATCTTACACGTTTAACTGACATTAACTCGTCGAGTACCGGTTTTATAGACACAATTAAAGAACAATAGGTCGCGGTCACCGGTGACCGCTTGGTGTTTGACAGTTTAAGCGTTCAGTTTTCCCGAGCGTACGGCGCGTCGCGTTCCGCGCGCGCCTCAAAGAGCCATCAGACCACCACAGATGGGGCCCAATAGGGCCGATGCCGATTCGGAGTCGCGGAGAACCTAACGGGTAACCGGGGCTCGACGTGCAGGAGAAGGAACGGGGTGGTTTTTAGTCAGTAAGAGTCTGACACTCAATTCCGCCTCACCCAGGCGGGAGCAGACATTCGATGAATTTCCCCCCTTAAAAAAAAAAGCGTTCAGTTTTTAAGTATATCCCACATTTAACTAACATTCTACTGCAGCGTAAGTTCTCGTAACTGAAAAATTATTTACTAGAAAATATATTATATTTTTTGCGATCTACTTGCATGTAGGGCGAACAAGGCTAAATGCCTCATTTGTGACATATTCTACTGAGTACGAATAGGTGATACACTGATATTTCTCAAATGAATTTATGAATCTAGTATATTATTTAGATGCTATTACTATTCTGGTGAAAATCTGTGCGAGTGCATTCGGTTTCAGAGCTCGCTGATTGAACGAGGTTAGATGAAATCGGCTTATCGTCCAGCGATGCTGGAAGGGAACGGGGAATAATTTCATTTTGGCATGCACCGGCCACACGGCTGGCCTCGCTTCCCTACTGTCATGTAAATTGACAATGAAGCTTGTATACGAAGAACTCTTTTCAGTTCCTACTAAAGTTACTATATTCATCAGTAAGTTACGCATGAAACCATTCCCAATGATGCCTATATCCTCTTGTGAATAAGAACCCATTCAATCATTTTATACTTAATCGTAAATAGATAGATAGTCACTGCAAAAGACTTATTGTAAAGAAATGTGATATGCATTAGATAAACAGGGTTAGATAAAGGCGAATTAAAATTTTGTGCATCCAATCTGTGCGCTATAAGTGGGTGCAGGTAAGTAGGTATTGCTTTCAAATACCACAAACAAAGGATAAAAATGTGTAATAATCAAGATTAGTTAAAAGAACTCGATATTAGTCGATATGTTATCTTAAAAATCAGTCCTAATTTACCGAATATTTTGAATGCATGTACTTAATATAGCGTTGATAATGCTAGCATAGATTAAAATTATTTTGATAAGACAATCATTCTACGTAAAGCGATCCTCGCTGATAAACAATAAACAGCAATGTGGGGAAATAATTAAATCAAGTGATAATTGACAATATCATATTATTATGATTCTGAAATAAAGTGTGTGTTTATTGTGCTCAGAAGAAACCATAAATCTCAAAGTCTAAGTCGAGGACTCAACAAAAATTGAAGGATGTCCAGATATTATTATTTTATTTCATTGTGCATTATTTTGGCATGTAAGTTTCCTTATTGATTTTTTTTTATATTGATAACACACAAGCCGATCACATGTGAGGACACGAATGACGAATATTTTATTGAAAATAGTTCAAGATCAGCCAAATCACCATCATCGTCATACAAGGAATACAAGTGACAAAAACTTTTGCATTTAATAGTTTCTTGGCTATTCTTTCTATCTCTCAGAATAGTTTTGGATAAGATCGTGACAACTTTAATTAATGGACAAAGAACTTCGAATTAGTTCGAATATTTCACTATCTACTTATATTATTTCTAATGCAGGCGCAGTGTCTATAACTGCAGAAGATGACGATAGAAATGAGGAGGAAGACGACCGAGAAGCCCGGTGCTTCCAATTCACTTGGCTAGGTCCCAGATGGAATAACAACAGTGTGTTTCTGAACGCTACGTGCCAGGACGCGACAAGGCTGTCTGAGGGGGTGCCTTGCGCTGAACCGCTCGTTGTCTCGTGTAAGTTTATGAAATATAGTCCCCCTATTACGGCACGCTTCTATATTGATCATTTAAAAAAAAAATGTACACAATGTTTGAAGGACTTTGACTACCTAATCCAAATGAATAGCTTTGTACGATTACAAATTATAAGGCGTAGATATCTAGAAAATGCTATGAATCACTCTAATCAGAATTAGGGACTTTTTCGCACAAACTTGTCATTTGGGTAACACAGGTAGAAAGATAGATACAATTATTAACAATCTTAAGTATTTGTGAGTAAGTATATAACGTCTGTGGGCAAGTAATGTTAAAAAAGAGTTAATGGACCAAGTTAGGTAATCAAAATAAAAAAATTCCTGGATCGAAAATTCTTTCAAACAATGTACTACCTAGTTACTGAACATACTAATTCCGAAAATAACGAATAGGTATTATATTTCACGTAAAGTATACACATATTGTGATAGTTTCATGCCAACAATTTTCTTATGTTATATACAGATGACGGATCATGGCCAGACGTGCATTATATTTGGAGGAACCACAGGGGAAATGCTTCTTGCGTTCTAGCAAATAACGACGTTTGTGTACAGTACACGCATTATTTCGATGGAGTCGGTAAGAAAGAAATTTTACACAAATATATACCTACCTAATTTACCTATACCTGTACTTGAATACTGCGATTTCGCTTCATTACGATATCAAAAACTTTATAGCAACTTTAGTCACTGAATTTCGTAAAAATTGAGTAGAGGGAGACAGATAAAATTACTCGTGAGTTACGCCTTTATTGTTTTTTTTTAATCTGTAGGAAGAAAGGCTTTAATCGTAAGGCGATTAGGTGTGGCAGCCTTCACCTACTCCTGTTTATACGACCTATTACAAACACAACACAGACGTACATATATCACGTATATGTACGTCAGTACATATACGTGATATATTGCAATATTACATACCTACTCTGTTACTGAAATGATCGAAACAAAGTCGATAATACTTTATAAGCCCAACTCTGGAATCGACCTTAAGACCACGGGTTCCCCAATACCTAGTCACACTCAAGAAGTCAGCAAATATAGCAGGACATTTTTTACAACAAATGCGATCTAAAGCTCTGGTTAAAAAATCTGGTTGTTGATGGAATAACATTTTTTTCTTCTTCTTTGGCAACCGAGTCTCCAAAACCGTGTTGTCGACTATACTACCAGTGTCGAGAATGGAATAACATGATAATATTATTTTAAATTACAGTTGACAATTCGACGTACATGTGTACAAGAGCTGTGGATACGAACGGACAAGCAATAACGAGAGGCTGTTACGAACAGAGAAATGGCAGTTTTGTCACCCGAGCTTGCTTCTGCCGATCCATACCTGGAGGTGTACCTTGTAATAATGCTTTCCTTTCAAATATAAGCACATTATTCGTCTTCCTCCTGGCTATACTTATAATATTTAAATCAAATTTCATTAATAAACATGTATGAAAAATATATTCTTTAAGATTTTTATTAAATGGTTTTTTATTAATTTATTTCCTGATGCAAATCGTACTAATACTTATTAGAAATGTTAAACTTGGTGAGTTTGTGTACCTATATATTTTTTACTCAAACATGTCAAAACAGCTGAAGGGATCCGGATGAAATTAAGAACAGGGGTAGATTGTGCTTCGGAATAACACATAGGCTACTTTTTTTCTCATTTAAGCGAAGGTAAAGTGCTGACAGAAGCTAGTTGTGAATAAATAAGAATGTAACCCTGCAAATATACAAACATGGAAAAATCTTATTATAACTTTTCAGCTATTTGCTTTTCGACAAAGAAAGAAAAAAAATGGTGGGTGGACGAAACCAGTTATCCTGATATATCTTTTAGAGATACGATTTGCTACAAAATTAATTAAGAAAAACTGTAATAGTCGTACCTATTCAAGGACGTTGAAAAAAAGGTCGTATCATAATTATAAATAAATTGAGCAATCGAACCTAAAAAGTATTCCAGACAAATATCCGAACAAAAATGAACACAAACCTGTCACTGACAAGTGACGTGTCCTATCTGTCAAATAAACAGCAACGTCAATCAAACAACATTTCAAAAACGCCTATTGCAGTGGTTTTCTATGCCACCGCTGCATATTTTTAAGAAGAAAGTTAACTAAAATATAGCTCTAAAATGTATTCTGTGTTAACAAGAGGAAACGCAATACTTACGTACACGTTAAGTGTATTAGCATGTCTAACCTTTCTGTGCTTTTTATCCACATTAACCGTGGATTACAGGACTGCTGCACAAATGAACACAGTAAAAGTAGTCGTGTGAGTATTCGGAACAGTTGTTGTGGTTATATTTCTATTTGTTGATAGTAATTCACAATGGTGCTTACAGTAAGAACGTGCCAGACTATGGAGCATCAAGGGAAAGAAATGATCTTGGTTTCCTCACTTTCGATCTCAAGACGGATCTCTCTCACCTGTTCAACTGGAACGTGAAGCAGTTGTTCCTCTACCTTACGGCTGAGTACATCACACCAAACAATGAATTAAACCAGGTTGTTCTATGGGACAAAATTATTCTCAGAGGGGAAAATGCTATCTTAGATTTCAAGAACATGAACACGAAGTACTACTTCTGGGATGACGGCAATGGTTTGAAGTAAGTTTTAATTAATTTTATTTCGCAAGTGTTGTTTCTGTTTTTTTATTTTTTTTTTTATAACTACCCACAACATTTAATATTTTTTCTTTTTTCCTTTTCCCTTCTGCACTATGAATAGTATAAAAATATTGAAATATTTTCTAGCTATTTTTGTTGCTCCTTTCACAATTATTCTTTTCAGATCAACTTTCACACTTACTTTATCCATTCCGCATATCTAGTTTGTACATACTATTGTTAACTCGTCGAGTACCGGTTTTATAGACACAATTAAAGAACAATAGGTCGCGGTCACCGGTGACCGCTTGGTATTTGACAGTTTAACATAGCCTTATAGGATTCTTATAAGAATTACAATTCTCATTTATTTATTTCAGGGGTCACAGCAACGTTACTCTAACTCTATCGTGGAACATCATACCCAACGCAGGTCTGCTGCCCAACATCCAGGCTCTCGGTCAACACTCCTTCAAGTTCCCCACAGATTATACTCAAACAAGAGTATGATCCATAAGTTACATTTGAATATTGCAGTTTGCATAGCTGGGGGTTCAGATAGAGTTGTGTAATAATAAGATTGTCTAATATACTGCTTTGTCACATCTGTGGGTTTTATTTATTACTTTCTTATTAACATTGTACATATTGAAACTTTATAATAACAACTTGTAGAAAATCTAGATTAACTGTGTGACCATGACTTAATTTTTGCCTAATTAAATATTGTATCTGTGGGATGGACAAAAGTGAACAGTGAAGTGAACTCAGCCAGGATTGTAACATAATAAAATATAAAAAGTGCTAATTTAAAGAAATAGTAGTTGTTAATCAATTTCCAAAATATGTGTAGCATTACATGAATAGTTATGGTAAATTTGTGACTTACATGCTTAACTATTAAGATTGAAAAAAAATTTGTTAATAATAAAGTGATAATCGATACTTGTGTATTATTTTTAATCATCAATACCTGTAACATGTAAAGGAAAGCACAGAGAATATTTGTAATAAAAGAATTATTAGTTTTTATATCATATAATTATCAATTACATTTTTAATTAAACATACATTAATCATTTTGCTCTACAGTGTTGTTCTACAGCAGAAAAAACTAGTGACCCCTACCATTGCTCATAACAGAGGTATCTGTCTTCGAAACATTACGCCAATTTTATCGGCATTGCCAGATATGAAACAATTACAAGTCTCAAGTGGACTGGATTTATCACACAGATTTTTCATAAATTGTCTCTAACTAAAGGTTTAGCACATAACATACAGGTTCCACAAGAAACCATCTAGGTTTAACAAAATAGGAGGTATAATTCCCAATAATGAGGTATAATATAAATGCATATCAACTAAGCAGAAACATTATTCTATACTTTTTTCAACTACATGTGTTTTTAAGTTTAAAACCTCATACAAGCGTGTACATTTAAGAAACATACAATATATGTATTTGAATTATTAATATTTTCTATATTCTGGAGCCATATATAATGAGGACCCTTAAAATATAATTTAACATCTAATTAACTGTAAAAATAGTTTTTAACAAAGATCTCTTATTTCCTTCCAAAATTCATTTATCATAAATTTTACTAAGGTTATAATATTATTGGTTTTAATAATGGTGTTTAAACCTGATTGTTCAGTTAATGAAAGTAAATAAAATAATTTACTAACATTTTGCTATTTGTGCAAGTGGGTATGTCGGCACAGTGACCATAAAACAAGTTACAAACACAAGTAAGCACTCCTAAATTTATCTTAACAAGGTTACTTATTAACTACTTAAAGGAAATAAGAACTTAACATTCTCATTAAAATTTTCATTGGTGATTGGTTAAATTGTCCTACAAACGAAGTAAACCACACAACCAGGTAAAGGGAAAATCAAGTCGCAGGTTTATATAATAACAATTTTATTCATCTCTAATATCTAAGAACTTTATAAATGTCATTAATGAACCTTGTCATGTCTCAAATTATTGCATCGAGTGTATCCTGTAGATCAGTAATTAATATTATATATTCTATATTACTTTCCAATGAAATGCAAGACAAGCACAGCTACCCTATTGTACACTAAAGTAATGATCATGAAGTGAGCCGAGTCAACAAAGATTCCTTACATGTAAAACAGTTCTTAGTGTATTGCTTGTTTTTGCCCCTGGCATTATTAAGAATTTACGAATTTCCCTACAAAGAATCATCTACAACGTCTACCGTAATGCTAACATTCAAAGCTGATCCCGCTAAATTACATGAAAAAATATTGCATATATAAGTAAATACTTTACTGATAGACACTATTGCAATCAATTTGCACACTCAACAATCATAACAGACGATGCAGGTTATTTTCTATTTTAACTATGATTCAACAAGATGGAACTAAAATATAAACCTATGCAGTGTAAGGTATACAGTATTAATTAGACCTGCTCGTATGAATTGACTAGTAAACATGTGATTAGGTAATGATAATATAATACTCAATTTTATCCTCCCATCATCCTGGAGGGCGCCAAGGAGGTCGTAAGAGCAATGACAAATTAAAGTTACAATTTCTTTAATTCTAAATGTAATTCGAGAATTCTAATATCATGCTAAACAAAGTATATTTACTAGAATTTAAAACATAACTATGGTAGGTACACGACGAGTATTACAAACAAATTATAGATTATATTATGGTTTGAGATAAATATATTTATTTAAAACTTTATTCAAATTAACAGGTGACCAACCACACATGCCATGATGTCGCAAGCTTTATATTACAATAAGATATCTAATCATATTATATGAATTAAAACAAATGAAGTTATGTATTATTATCATCAATTAGTCTAATAAGTGGTTGAGTGTTTAGTGAAGCACAGTGAATGAAACATTCTACAACTTAACAGCGCAATACTAAAGATCACAGTTTCTGCCATATCAAGTGATTTGGTTACACAAAATGGCATTATCATTATAGACGTTGTGTGAACACGATACAATCTATTTATAGATATAACATGAGCTCTAACTGGAAACGCCATTTAAATATACTCCTATTTTATAATATTTAACATCAAATACAACCAAAGGATAAACCAAATGTTTTTAATAGCTACATTGTAGTTTTTCGCTGTATTTAATTTGTAACACTCACATTTTTAAAATAAATGTGAATCTGAAAGGTACGTATGTCAAAAGACCTAAGATCCAAAACCTGTGAGTAACAATAAAATACAAGTTGTATACTGGAACGGTGACTGTTGTTAACAAATCATTACAACCCTGCCTGCACATCTGACATTATTCCGATTCATCATCACATTTGCAACATAGATGCACCTCATAACGTGGACAGTAAGTACTAGTCGAAGTGGATGATATTCTGCTAGTCATATCACAGCAAGTACGTCACAGTTGTATCACAACTGTCTTACAATCAGCCCAGTCACGTATTATACGTTTAAAGATTACTTACTGTTATGAAATCCGGGCCATGATGCCCAATAGTTACGTAGGATACCATAAGACAATTATTGTCACTAAATTCGAATGCATACCGACGTCTTAACCGTCACGACACATCCAAACTTAGATTTGGACAATATAATATTAAAGTCATCTACACATAATTTCATTGGTACTGCATTTCAAACTTCTGAGGGACTTTGGACACATGAGTTACGTAGTTATCTTAAGTAAATATGTACACACTATTGAGTACAAAAGTCCGTGCTGTTAGGGTTTCAAATGTGCGGACAGGAGGTGTGTTGTCTACCTATGAGAGGGTCGCGGCGAGGCAGCCATTCCAGGGCCGCCAGCGCCGTGCGTTCACAGGCGGCAGGGCTCGAGCACGGACCGTCACGCGCCAGACAGTGGCGGCCCATCTGTCTGCACGTCCTTGTCCTCCGTGAGCGGGACACACGGGCGGTCTGACCCGTATCTCCTTGACAGATCCAGCATTTCTCTCAAACCCTGCAATTACACCAGACTGAATTATTTTCTACTAAATAATAAGAAAAAGGTAAATAACTGATGTAACTGTACAAACATGTATATGTTATGTATACAAATTCCATTGAACAATTGCATATATGAGAGTTGTTTATGTTTACCTTATTTTCTGTAATGAGCCTTTGGTAGAGTTCCTCTTCTTTCCTCGCATCACTATTTTCATCCAAAGTGACAGCTTTGTACATAATACTTGTCATCTCGTTAATTCTTTCAGCTTGTTGCCGGATCAACTGTAAATAACAGGATGGATTATACACCATGGATTTATACATCTGGTTGCTTTGTACACAGTGGACAAATAAAATAGGGTTAGAAATGAGACATTGCTAACTAAAAAGATCCATATCCATACTCTAAATATAAATACATTTTACATTTTCCACAATCTTTATTTTTAGTTCATCTGCCTTACAAAATGTGTGGGAGTAAAGTATGTAGTACTTTCGCCTACTTGTTTATCTAATTATAAATAGCCCATATCTGATATATTCCAGACTGGAGAACAGATTAATTCCACCTACCTCCTGCTGTTTTTCATTGATAGCATTTGTAAAGTCTATCCTCGACTCCCATACTCTTTTCTCAGTGTGCTGTCGGTACTTGGACATGATGAGTTCCAATGCTCGTCTGTGATCTTCCAGGGCTGCCCTCAGCTCACCATTCTCACGTTGTACATCTCTCATCAGACGTGACTCCCGCTCAATACTGCCAATGAGAGCCCCGCGTGGTCTCTCACGAGAAGCCTCATTCAAAGTATCGACTTCTTCTTTATACTGAAATGTTATTTAGATATTGCACATAAATATAGACTGATAGTGACTGATATAGACTGATACCTATACATCTGAGTAATAAAAATATATTCATGCAATGGAAAAATTTACCAACACAATAAGTGTCCATTTATTTATAAGATCATGTTTATGAAGTTTTACAATAATTTCCTCCAATAAATGTGTCATTACAGCATAAATAAACCCTATTACATAAGATTCTAATTATAAACAATATACCTGTTTTACTTTCAAAGTAAAATAACAGGAAAAACTAATGGCATGACAATTTTTAAGGTTTCTGAATTGTATATTGAAGTAAATGTTCTTTATCATATCAAATCTTGGTTTATTTTCTGTCAATTGGTTGGGCACTTGAATACAAATGTGTACCTATTCAATGTCTAATTAGAATCATGTTATTTTAAAAAAAAAAGAACTAAACATAGTCAATATTTTTTTATAAAGCAACATTAAATAGTAATTTATCAGTATGCAGTACTAATTTTGAATGCTATTAAAAATATTCTTATTCCAAGTGATCAATGAAAGTGTTTGTGGAGTTACCATCAATATTGTGTTTGTTATCTTACTATGACAGTAAGGGAGATATGGCAGCGAGCCAAAGTTGGCAATTAGTAAATCAGAAACTTAATATATAACATGTATGTAAGTGGATACCATACTATTTTGTACTGACATCTTGCCAGCTCATCTTTTTTTTAAATCTATCATGGTACACCTTTCACTAACAAGCCTAAGGCGATCCACATACCTCAATAATTATACAGACAAGCAATATTTTTGTATGAATTTGAATACCTTTAAGATTAAATAGAAGATAATTATCCTTAAATGATAATATAATTATGTCAATAACATGTTAATATATGTAAAAATCTGCAGACTATGAATTTTAAAATAGGTTAGCCGTTCAATCTATAACATTGTTGAATGTGTTTGAAATAAGTGCTAGGTAAAGTATCTCGGATGTTGATCACATTTTAATAAATCTAGGAGGTGGCTAATTGAGTTATGTGAAAGCCAACTGTTTACACAACATAAGAAAAACAAACCACAAGGTCATGGAACTCTGTTAAGAATATGTTTACATCACATTTAGATCTTGTTAAACCAATAGTACTCGTAATGATAATTACCTAGAAGATCTTGTCCTAATAATTAGATATTCAAACAATAGACAAGAGCGAGCGTCACAGTTTTGTACTCGTATCACATTCCAACAACCTACCTGTTTCATCGTATGTATTTGTCGGTAAGCAGTTTGAGTTTCGGTTAGCAAAGCATCAGCTTCAGTCTCGCGCTCTTTGAGACGTCCCGCAAGTCGTTTAGCATCCAAAATTATTTGCTGTATGGTCAGTGACATCTGAAAAAGCCAGCAATGTAGAAAACTCACAACAGACCACTTCAAAAATCGATTTTAAAACAGAACTGCACCAACCCTGATATCCACACAAAATTGTCACACGAATAACGTTTCATCTAAGCAAATTCAAACGATAAATTTAAACAAAACACCGATTTCTATGTAAAACTAAAAGACGCATATCAGCTGTTTCGTGATTAGAGTACAGCAGCCATTAGCTTTCATTTCATTTGTGGCGGAGTATTATCTTTCCAAATATAAAGATACAAGTTAGAACGAGATGCCATTAGACATCAGAGTTTGTTTTGTAGGTTTATGGTGTTACAGAAAAGAGACAGAACATTTTCTGAACAGTTTACAAATCAGAACGATTATATTGTGACATGACCTTGATCACAGAGAATCGAAGAAGGTTCAGTGTTGCAACAGTGGAAATATTGTATTTTCACATTCGATATTCGGATTTTTTCATTTATTCACTGTTCACTTGCACAGATTTACCAAATTAAAACATGATTGGCGAATATGTCGCCTATCTACCACGTCCTACAGAATCATATTATATTGTTTCACTAGCAATTGGAGTGGCAAAATATCTCAGGTGCTCTAGGGATATTTTACCTACCAAGAACCCATAAATTCTGCAACAATCGTTTGTGACGTCTTGACCACTTGTGATTGTGACCCAGGGTCCAAATAATGATATGAATTAAAAATATTTTTAACTATAATTACATACCTACCTGCTGTAGTTAGGTACCCACTTTCTTCTTCAAAATAAAGGACTTCTTCTACGGGAACCCTGTTCTATGCCCCAGCTACAGATTCTTTTTATTACAAATTAACTGAATAAGACTAAGTTAACTGGATAGATTTCGCATGAAATTGTTGCAGGTGACTGGTTTGGCACAGTATAGATATTAAAGATCTCTTGTTGATAATATTTCGCCTCGCCTCGTACTACCTAGCATACAAATGACTACATTAGCTCCAAATATGTCCTTTGACAGAAATTATGTACGTATATATGACTAATGTTTTCTGCCCATGCTGCTGTTATTTTAGAACATTACCTGTACATCATACCCAGTCCCAAAACAACAATTTTTGATTATACCTCTATAAAGAACTGCTTCTTGTACGAATCGAAACAGTAGCCTAGCCAACTGTTTAGGCTGTTGCAGTGGCCACTGCACTGCACGCGGTATTATCAGGTAAATAAGTAAGAATGTACTTTAATAAGATATTTTATTTTTCATCAAAATCATAATCATGCTAATAAACATTTAGTTACGTTAATTAGTAACATTGACTATGAAGGCACACATTTTATCTATTATATTTTATTATAGGTAAGAATAAACAAACATAATAAAAAAAAGTTTTATATCATTAACACTCTTACGTATAGACGTAGTTACTACGGTCTATTCATTAAATCACTTAACATAGAAAGCTATAACAATAAAATCATAGGAATAAAATTTAAATATTATTCTTAGAAAGGAAGTCCCTGATCAGCTTGTTCACTTTCTCTGGCTCTTCTTGTTGCAAGAAATGGCTCGTGTTTTCGACAATAGCGGTCTCTATAGTGGAATACTCCTTCTTTAGGGTGTCAAGCAAGCTGTGGCACAGGTAATGGTCGTTGGCTGCATGAGCCACCAGCATGGGTACATTCTCTTTGTGTTCAACAATCTCCGGGAAGTCGAATCTAAAGTTCGCTCGGTAATAGTTGATTGGAGGCGTTAAGGCAACTGTAACAAAAGTATCTACGTAAATATTAAGTACCTAAGTTTACATATGACCCATAAAGGCACACATGTCATTGGGTCATTGCTACTTATATTTTAATACTACTAAAAAAAGAAGAGCTAAATTTGTTATTACTGAATTTAAACTGGGTTCCACTCCAATGAATTTTCTGAATCAGCGAAGCGAAAGGAGCTGAAGATAGGTGTGACGTATTTTTACCGTGTCGTAAAATATTTCTACGGAAGTTTTTAGTCCATTGAATAACCAGGGTAACGTGTTGCATTTGATCTAGCACTTAACTAGTCCAGTTATGCACCAAACAATATTAAGTGCCTAATAGATTTTTTACCCGTGTGACCATAAAATATTTTTAATAATGTGTGTATTGATTATTAATAATAACACTTTTACCGATTTTTTTTGTCAAATGCAATAAATAGCGCTCTACGCAACGCCACATTACATAACGCCTGCGTATGTTACGCCACTCCACACTGCTACGTACATAGTACATACGCTACGCAGTGATACGAATGCTTCGCAACGCTACGTATGCTACACAAAGCTACGTATGCTACGCAACGCTACGTATGCTACGCAAAGCTACGTATGCTACGCAAAGCTACGCAACGTTACGTGTGCTACGCCTGCCTCTACTTCAACGAACACTACGAATGCTACGCAATTCTATGTTGCGTACTATGCTAAGGTGCGTAGCTTAGTGAAGTCTGTCATTCCTTATGTCGACCGTTTCGATCATTAACTTTAGTGGAAGTTATTTAAAAAATAACCTGTTGTATCCAGAAATAAAACTTACAAGGCCTACGGAACCAGTATTTGTAGCATTCGATGTCTTCTTTATCAGTGTTGTTTTTGCCAGGCAACAACATGACTTTTTCATAGACTTCTAAATCATTCATGAGAAGTGCTTTTTCTGGTATCACCGGTGCACGATACAGGAATACGTACCTGGAAATTGCAAAGACGGTTTAGTTTAGTAGGCACTTAGATAGACAATACAAAATGATAATCAAACATCAACAATAATACATATTTTTTTTAATGTTGCCCCACAGTAGGATTTTCTCCTGTGTCGTGGGTGCGTTTACAAACATACAAGTTCACATACACATGACACCCAGACCCGAAACAAAAATTTGTGGATCACACAAAGTATTGTTCCGTGCGGGAATCGAACCCGCGACACGTTGCACGGCAGCCGGTTGCCCAGCCACCGCACCAACCCTGCAGTCATTGATAATATAATATTATACCTATATGTTATTGTATGTAAAGTTATATTATGATAGTTATAACTAGGTAATTTGACTTGGTTAAATAGATTAAGTTTTATTGTCTTTATGTTCAGTCTTCATCTTTGCGTCTTCAAGAACATGTAACTTAATAAAATAGTGAAATACTTCCACAATACAAGACACCCATAATATATGTAGATTCAGAACTAATTCATAAACTATGAGATAAGTGATTATCAAGAAATATATATTTAACTAACGTCTTTTATCCCCAAATGGGTAGGCAAAGGTGCACATTACAGCACTTTATGCCACTGTACAATGTAACACCCACTTCACTTCACTATTTATGTTATAAGTCCCATGTAATAGTAGGCTATTGCCACATTTCCGGGCACATTTCCAGACTCCGTACTACAACTGAGATATTTTTTAAACCCAGTAATACCTTTCCCGACGCGGGAATCGAACCCTTGAAACCCCTTGCACGGCAGTTGCACTTGCGACCATTGAGTTAGACTTAGTTTATCAAGAAAATGTTTTCGAACACCGAAATATTTGAAGGTACAGTATAAATTGGAATATTTAGATGCGTAAATCCTGTTAGTAATACACTGATCTTTTATACGCATCTTTGTTAATCTTACGTCTGTCATGTACAGCTATATACACATAGATATAATACACATACAGCTACATCTACAATGACAAGAATGTTAAACCACAAAACATATAGACATGTACCTACCTATTACAAAAGGGTATCTACGTCATACAAAATACCGATTCACATTATAACTGTAATTAAATATGAATGCATGTATGGATTATGGATGACGATTACTTTTGGTTTTTTTTAGGTAACTGCTTAGCAATTTAACTGGATAACTAATAGGTACTTAAATAGGTTCTTGTTCGTGTTGTGTCGTGGTGGCCTGTAGGTTTAACATGCTCACTTTTCATGCACGAGGTTGCGAGTTCGAAACCTACCAACGTCAAGTACTAATGAGACATTTTCAGAGTTTTATGTACTTTCTAAGAGTTAGAGTAAGATACACCGCTGACAGACGGTGAAGGAAAACAACAACGGTGAGAAAACCTGGACTTACAATGTCTAATTATAAGTTTGAAATCGCCAACCCGCATTAAGCAAGTGTGATGATTAATGCTTAAACCTTCTCCGTGCGAGAAGAGGCCGTTGGTCAGCGGTGGCCACTTATAGGCTATTGACGATGATAATGTGGTTCTATAACTAACTTATAAAAGATCGAAACCTACACAGTTGAAGTCGTAAATAGACTCTAGTATTACATATTATTAAGTAAATATACCCACGCAATGACGTAACATATCGTACAATAGTACCATCAGCAAAGGTATCAACAAAAGGCCAAAAAATTACGTCATTTTAAAACGCATGATTTCTCTTTTGATGCCTGTACCGCGTCCAAATACGCATGGATAATAAAATGAGCTACCGTAACGATATGACAGTGTCGCACTCGTTCCATAAGACCCCAATAAAAATCACTTGATCTTACAATGATTCTTGCAATAAACACAAATTGGCGATCCACAATTGTATTACTGTCCAATGTTATTGGTCTCATTGATAAATCAGACAAGTCTAGAAGTTAGTAGGAAGATCTCTTTCAACAAGCAATTAAAAATAATTGTGTGAGAACCTATAGCTGACTACGTAACTGATGTAAGTTGATTGGTATTCCAGACAAACATCGGCAGTAAAGCTTCTTGTGAAGAGTATTATCAAAGAAAACCAGCAAAATAATGTGTATATATATACTAAGTAGAGATCTGAATCTAAACATGGATAATCTTTAACAGTTTTCACAGAAAACCGACGTGAAATGTGTGGGAGAGCCATGCTTCGGCACGAATGGGCCGGCTAGACCGGAGTGATACCACGGCCTCACAGAAAACCGACGTGAAATAACGTTGCGTTGTGTTTCGTCGTGTAAGTGAAGTAACCGGAGGCCCAATTACCCCCTCCCCAGTCTCCCGAATCCTGAATCCTCCACAATCCTCAAATTCCCAATTCCCAAAAGGCCGGTAACGCACTTGTAACGCTTTGGTGTCTCAGGTGTCCATGGGCGACGGCGATTGCTTACCATCAGGGGATCCGTCTGCTCGTTTACCGGATTATGCCATAAATAAAGAAGTCGGTTAAAAAAAACAGTAACTTATCAAGATGGTGAGTAACTACTTAGATAGAGAACTTACCAAGATTGCTTTCTTTGTTCAGGGTTGTTCCAAATCTCGCGCACCCAAGCTGTGCTCGATATGCTGGCCAACATGACTAATCCATACACCATTTCAGGGTGCTGGTTCCGGAACTGGCAAGCAATCAAACCACCCCAGTCGTGAGAAATTAAAATACATTTCTCTCTGCCTAAAAGTACATAATATTGTTAGTTAAGCATTAAGTGTATTAATAATTAGTTACAGAATATTAATTACTTCAATTTTTAATTTAAAAACCCAGTATTCTATCTATATATGCAGGTAAATAAAATGTAGACGAGTATTGTAAAATGACTCAACATTGCATTGTATTGGGACAAAACAAAATGGTATGTATGTTTGTATAGCAGCTAGCGATGTGTAGCTACAATTGAATCTACATATTATGCAACGGCATACTTATGCATTATTTGTTTTGTTCATATGTCTCGTCTCCATGCTTAGTACGTACAAAATGGGTCCAGTGATCTCATATCATTGTAACAATACGGTTGACCTTTATTATTTGTAGGTACAGTACGTTTAATATAACTAGGTATACAACGGTTTTTATCAGTCTGCTAAAATAGTATAATGAGATAGTGGGACAAACTGCACGTTAGCGATGTACGAAACGTCCATCAAACTGAATTATGTATTCATTTTTGCATCGTCACGCACGCAGATCTCAACAATTGAAGAGAGCCCCGCTATTATACTCGGCCGCAATAACAACTTCAAAATAGAATTGAAAACCTTTACCTAATTGAATTACCAGATCTTTTATGTCTGCGACTAGATTTTGGATTTGGTAAGCAGCCACGCCCTCTGGTCGTTCTGAATCTCCGTAGCCTCTCAGGTCAATGGCCACGCACCTGAAATGAATAGGCAAGTGTCAGGTTAAAGACTCGAAGTAGTTTTAATAAACCTGACGGACGGATTTAGGTCTTGTTAGAGAGGACAGATCAAATGGACACGTCCAAGTCAAACGTGATTACCCATTCCTATTGTGGAACTATTAATAGCAATATTGCCATTTCTCGAATGTTTCTGGAAGTTGATGCTGTGGGTGTGATTCTAAAATACTTTCATGTTTTCCATATAAACAATCTCGAACCATCTATGAGATTCTGTAGGTACCTACTGCCCACCTACTTTCTTATCCATCGGAAAAGAATGATGTAAACTGACGAAAGAGTTAAAGTAAACAAAAATTGCTAAAATTAACTTCGAAGTGCGCGCTACTTCCAAGAGCCAGCTGCGTTTACAAGAACTTATTGCTATGCCAGTTTTGGCACAGTATGGAGTTGCAGTTTTAGCAAAAGTCTTAATATAATAATCGAACATTCTCGGTTCTTCTTCGTCAAAAAATTAAACCATGAAAAATGTAAATAATTTGAGAGCTGCCTATAATTGCTGATATTTCTGCAGCAATTTTAGTAGAGTCTGATTTATGTAAAGTATGTTATGCAAACAATACATACCAATAATCCTTTTGGAAGTCCACAATCTGGTGTCTCCAGGAGTACCAGAACTCCGGAAAGCCATGAACAAATATCATAAGAGGTTTCGAAGGGTCACCGCTCTCAACATAGTGCAATACCGTGCCCTGTGAAGAAAAGAAAAATTAAAAAGAAATTTCAGTAGACAGTTTCATTGTATAATGTGAAGGTCTTTCGACAAACTAATAGTTATTTTTTTCAAATCACGCTATTATTATGTTACTACTATATCATACTTATTATTGTATATTACTACAATCTAATTAATTATGATTCTAATCTGCCACTCAGATGGGTCAAGACTTCCTAATTGTGTCATTATAATTCTTCTATAAACATAAATAACATCACGCCTTTTATCCCCGAAGGGGAAGGCAGAGGTGCACATTACGGCACTTAGTGCCACGATACAATGTAACTTTTCACTATTTATGTTATGAGTCCCATGTAATAGGGGGTGAGCCTATTGCCATATACCGGGCACGATTCCAGGCTACTACTGAATTTTTTGAATCGGGACCCTTGCCTGGCAGTCGCACTTGCGACCACTCGGCCAACGAGCCATTCTTCTTGACTTCGACCCCCTTTTTTTGAAGTTGGTTATTTAATATACTAGCTTTTATGAAAACATCATCAAAATCGGTTCAACCCATAGCGAGATAATGGCGCAGCATGCATACATACCTACTCCTTTTTTTTTGTAAGATCATATAATATAACATAACACCTTTTATCCCTGAATGGGAAGGCGGATGTATGTGTGAACTGAGGGACCTGGGAAGGTTTTATGAAAACATGAAGGCAGAAGTGCACATTACGGCGCTTAATGCCACTACCATGTTTTTTAATATCGGTTCAAAATAGGCAACATTAACTCTGCTGCCGACAATTTCTCCACGGAGCGACCTCAGGAGTTGTTGTACTCGGCGGCACCCACTGCGAGAAGACGAGGGAGCCGTCGAGAGTTAATGTCGCATGGATTTCTGAAAACTAATACTCCATTCTGGAGTCAAGCATTCATTGTATATAATATAAGTATCTATGTGTTTTACCATCCAACCCTTATCGCATAAAAGTGTAAGTTTTGCTACGTTCATTTTCTAATAGAAGGTAGATAAGATATCTTAACTGTACCTAACTATGAATGACTATAATTATGATAACTTTAACGTACCTAATTCATTTTTGTTGTGTTAAATATAGTAACCGCAAAAACTGAAGATGTTACGCACGACCGCGACGCACTTATAAGTAAGTATTTACATATAGCTAGCTTTGTTTACATACCTATGTTAAAATGAAATAAAATATAATTATATGGAGTTTAAATATCATTACTTTTGGTATTCCAAAATGTCCTAAGGCTGCGAACTGATTCCTAAAATTTGGTACCGGAATTCGCGACCTTTTGGACCATGACGAAGTAAATTGCGATCGCAAAAATTAAATCTGGTACTTTATGGTACGTTGTATGTTGCTTACGTAAGACATAATACCGTTCGGCTAATTTAGGAGCATGTAACGGCTTGGCTGAATAGACGGTGTGCGTCAAGCAATGCTAATAAAAAATCGCGCTTGAACTTATTAACACCGAACGTATAACTTTTAATACAAATATTTGAGAAATAACTGTTACTAGATATACTTGACATTAGATTCTCACTATCCATCCGATTGTTATTTGCACAGTTGGTACTAACAATAAAGTAGAGATACTAAATTTCTTCATTTGTCGAGCTATTCTATAACTGCCAATTCGAAGTTTCGAAATGAGCTTGATCGCATTCTAGCCCGTCATTGGTCGAGATTATTCTGACAACCAATAACATGGCGCACCGCCATCGAGATCACTTCGATCTTTACAGAATTGCTTACCTGTAGCTGTAGTCTACCACGTCGTCATTTCTACGTTCTACAACGATCTTGGTTTAGATTCATTCGACCGAAACATCAAGTGCAAAAACTGTCCAAGGTCTTTGTTACAGTATAATTATGCGTAAATCGTAATTATCTGATTGTCCATACAACTAGGAAACGTAAAATTACACTTAATAATTGCAGTTGTAGATTTATGGAAGATTAAGTAGTTAGACGCAACATTACTGTGTTTAATACTATACTTGGCGCAGAGGTAACAGGTAGGTTACCTTAAATACTATTTACCATATTATAATTAACCACTAGGTACTTGTTTCTTTATGCGGAAGTTGAATCAACAAATAACATCATTGTTATAAATAGTTGATTGTTTAAATTTTTGCAAGAATGTAGAACAATTTCTTATAGTTGTAAATTCAATAGACCCTTAGCCACCTAATTCCTTATTAAATCTATTACAATTTCAATTTAAGAATTGACAATTATTTTTTTTTTTAATTTCGAGAAAACTTTAAAAAAAATTGCTACATATAAAAACTATTACGCTAATTTAACGAATCTTTGAAACTTTTGTTGTAAATTGCGCAATTTGGTTGCACTGTCTAGCATTGAGTAAGTGTTTTATTTATCTTATTTATGCTTTTCCCCAAAGGGGTGGGCAGGGGTTCACGTTACGTGGCACTTAATGCCACTGTACAATGTAACACCGACTTTTCACTATTTATGTTATGAGTCCCATGTAATAGGGTGTGAGCGTATTGCCACCTAAACCGGGCACATTTCCAAACTCCGTGTTACTACTGAGATTTTTTTTAAAACCCGGTAATGTTTGCCGTCTCGTCCAAGGAGGCAGTAGTATAATAGGCATATTTTTTAAATATTAATAGTGCATCCCACGATTTATCGTCCCACTGCTGCACCTGCCTGGTGAGATGGGAAGCACGCGAAAACAGGTTGGTTGGGTTTATACAACTCGCCGGAAGAACGTGCTAATACAGAAAGCGGAACGGCATTCATGTATTCTCTTTTAGCAGAATATTATTACACAGCACGATTGGGTACAATTGTTGAACATATTACGTTATGCATGTTAGTGCACGCCCGTTAGACACCCGTGCATTTCACCATGCCATTACAAAAGACAGGTCCCATACGTCTTCATTACCTATGTCTTTAGTACCTAATATTTTCTTTATTACTGTTTTAAACGCATTGCCTAATGGCTTTTTTATGTTTCACGCACAATCTTTACACGCATGTTTCCTGTTAGAAAATTGCTAATGGAACATCGTGGTATCAATGCACAAGGTTTAACTATCTCTAGTTATATAGAAAAATAAGTTTAATTAGGTAAACGTGGAAGAAGCAATTGGCTAGTTTCCTATGTTTAAAATAAATTGTTTCAACTTTTTAATGCAATAAATATTTAAAAAAGAATCATACTCTCATTAATTGATTTGACAATTTACCTATTTTTGGATTTTTTCTCTTTAATTTTAAGGAAATAAGTAGGTATGCTATTTGACTCAGGAATATGATGACGTCATAAGTAGCCATCCAATACAAAGTTAGCACAAAATTATAATTTTTGACATTTCAATAAAAGTATTCAATTAAACTACCTGTCAACTACCGTATTGTAGGACAGCTATACTTCAGCATGAATAGGCTGGCTTGACCGGAGTGATAATACGGGCTTAGAAAAAACCGACGTGACACCGCTTGCGTTGTGTTTCGTCATGTGAGTGAGGTTACCAAAGTCTCAATACCCCCCCCCCCCCACCCCTTCTCAATCTCCCCAATCACCGATCTCCAAATTCCCAACAATCCTAAACTTCCTAATCCTCAAAAGGCCGGTAACGCACTTGTAACGCCTATGGTGTTTTGGATGTCCATGTGTGGCATCGATTGCTTATCATCAAGTGATCCGTCTGTTCATTATCATCATCATCATATCAACCACAGGACGTCCACTGCTGAACATAGGCCTCCCCCAATGACTTCCAGATAGGCCGGTTGGAAGCGACCTGCATCCAGGGGCTCCCTGCTACCTTTATCAGGTCGTCTGTCCAACTTGCGGATGGACGTCCTACGCTGCGCTTGCCGGTACGTGGCCTCCACTCGAGAACCTTTCTGCCCCAGCGGCCGTCGGTTCTCCGCGCTATGTGCCCTGCTCACTGCCACTTCAACTTGCTAATCTAGCGGCTATGTCGGTGACCTTTGTTCATTTGCGGATACGTCTGGTCGTTTACCGGCTTATTCATAAAAAAAATATAAAAAAAATGGAGCAACAGCTACTTTACCTACTGTGGGTATGGGAAATACAAGATACGGGTCGGCCAGTGACCGGGGCCTAAACAGTAACCGTTTCTTCCTAGAAGGGTTAAGAGTAAGTGCCTATACCTACCTAATACTTATTAATAATTCAGTTATACCTATTGGTTCAAAAACGTCGTTCGAAATAATCAACAAGAAAGTTAAAATATTATTATAGCAGGTGAAAAGTGAATGTTGTTCTTTGTACATTTGAACAATTTAATGTAGGTATAGATACAAAATACAAAGTTCAGTTACTATATGACTACCAATCAAATCAATAATAGCATTTCACGCCTCGCCGCATGTTCCTGATAAGATTTTTCTATAGAGTTATGACTAGGCAAAAAAATATCTATGTCTGTCTGTACCTATATCTTATCTAATAGCTAGACTTGTAATATTACTTCCTATATGAATGATCTGTCTGATTGATTAATATGCCTCGTTGATGTTTTAGATGCAAGCTCGACTAGGTTTGAACTTCAAATTAATCTTGGGAAGACTATCAGCTTCATAATATAACTATAAGATCGAAGATAGAATCTAACTATTAGTATAATCTCGTGGTCGTGGTGGCCCGGAGGTTTAAGACGCCCGCTTCTCATGCATAAGGGTGCGTGTTCGAAACCTACCAACGGCAAGTAGGTACTAATGTGACTTTTCCGAGTTATATGTAGGTACCACTGACAAACGGTGAAGGAAAACATCGTGAGGAAACCACTGAAAAGCTTCTGACACCAACGAAAAGTAAGTAGGTTCTATATGTAATTTAATATAATATTTTATGTGCTTTATACATATATTTTCTTTATGTCTTATACGTTTAACATTTAATTTTCTGTTAACCTTTCAAATCTAACACTCACTTTTCACATCTATTTGAAAATCTATCAGCAAGTATCTTCCACATAGTATTAAGTAAGATTTAATCAAACTAGCTCGAGACATAACGAGCATTCTTAGCACAACCAACAGTTAACTTTAATTACGTTCTATCACTTATGCCTTGTTTGCACTACGCTAGTAATTTAGTCGAGTAGCGAGTGTTTAGTAGTTCTGTTTCGCGCCTGTCCCGAAATCAAAGCGAAAGAGAACTACGAAATACTAGCTACTTGATCAAATTACTAGCGTAGTGCGAACAAGGCATTAATGCAAGTACCTCACCTATCTGTACATATAAGTGCGCGGGAAAATGCAGCTGATATCCGGCAGCATAATAATATGTCTTATGTACCAGATAACTATGTGAAAACTTTCTCGTGCTTATCAAGTCTACCTAGTACCTACAGTCTATTTAGTTCATAGTTTCTAACATAATACCGCTCCTTTATTTGTTAAGAACATCGGGTAGAAGTATCTTATATCGAAGTTAATGGGGTAGGTCAGTTAATTTTTATTAGCTAAGTATGATGTTTATCATTATCCCATATAAAGAGTCTTCAAGTAAAATATTTTTATACAAGCCACAAATGTCAATAGGCTCATCCCCTAATACATGGGACTCATAACATAGAATAGTGAAAAGTGGGTGTTACATTGTATAGTGGCATTGAGTGTCGTAATGTGCACCTCTGCTTCCTTTTCGGGGGTAAAAGGCGTGATGTTATGTTATGTTATTAAGACACAAATTAACATAAGATGGGTATGTACCACGCCTGGGAATTGAAACTAGGATACCGTGACTTATCAATCACACAAATATACATTTTACTCATGCCAAAGCGAGACAGAAAAAACTGCGAAAATTCAATTGCAATATTTCAATTGATAATTGAAATAAATTACTTACATTAACTTTGATGTATTTGTGCACTCCATATTTAGGGTCTGTGAGACGCGCAGGTGGTTCCAATTTCAATTTCTGAGTCCAGGGACTAGAGAACGGATTTTTTAAATACACTACAGCAAACCCGATGAGCACCAACACATTGTAGTATACAGTTAATAGATTATAGTACACTACTCGTTGCAGCCACAACAATACACTCATTTTGATTTGAATCGGTTGGTTACTATGTATCTGTGAATGCGTGTGTCTCGGCCTCTTCCGCGCTGATGACTGCCGTCTAGCCACCCGGCGTGAGCTCTAAGCTAAACTTCTTTGGTTTATTGTTATCCGTAGACTAGAGACTGGTTCACAGTTCGAAGTAACTTTACTTGTGTACTTATTTTGTTCTGTGTTGACAGTTCACAAAGGGCCATACAATTTTTTTTTCTGAAAATTAGAATTTATTACTGCGTAGGTACTCACTGAGGCGTGATACATTTATTTAGCATACAATACTCCTTTAAATCTTGCTCATATTTTAGTTATCGTTAACAAACAAACGCGTTTCTACTAAATTAAACACTTTAATTAACGATAGTAAATAGGAAGTTAAGTCGATGTAACTGTAGTGTTTTTACTCCAAAGATAATGATGTCCTTGATCTTGACACTTGTGAATACCGCGTAGTGGTGTACGTAGCCGACCATTAATGTCAAGTGGGACCGCAAATTAAATAATGAGCAAGGGCGTTTGAACATACACTTGAATGTATAGGAGAATGTGATATTTAACTTCGACGATCTTATGTAGATGCATAAGTTATTTACTTATTGATTCCAATGTTGGTATGGAATGGAACTACCTATATATTTTATAGAAAATCGCTGTATAGTCGCCAAGGAGTGGAACCCAAATGCGATCTTTCTGTGCTGTGTATGTACCTATGTTTATCTCGGAGAGACAAGCCTTCTTAGATTACTATGATACTCTCAGTAGTCTCAGTCTACAAAAGAGAAAGTTTTGTCCTATACCGTAGGGTTAAGTGTACATTACGAGGATAAAACAATATATTTAGTATCGAGGTAGCGTAGCTATATTTATAAGAGATTTAATATCCACGCACAAAGGTACTACCACTATATTCTGCATCATATATAGGTATCTAATATTGACTGAAAATGTCTTAGTAGAAACTTCCAGGAGCTTCACCTCATCTATAGCAGAAAAGACCTCAAATGTAGGTAAGCATGATGGAAATCGTGCGGTAAGAAAGAAAGAAAGAAAAACCATTTATTTTGCTACGACACATAAGAAGTAAATGAAATCGTAAAGTCAATTTTTAATGGTAGTTCCATAACTGCTCATTTCGAGGTTACATTCTAACCTACTTTCCTGACAGAAAATGTTCAGTTTCTGAAGTCAGTATGTACCTAACCCTAATAACATTATACGGCCATATGGTCATATAATGACATTTTCCAACAAACACTTTCTCTAAACCACATCGGACACACTATTCGTAGGTAGAAAGGTTAGTTTGAAATAAAACAGAATAGCAACGATCAATAAAATTTTATTTTCATGAATTGAATAACAAACACAAGAAACACTTATAATAAAAATAATTTATTTAGGTTACATATTCGTACCAGGCGAATAATCGCATTAATAAACATGATGTCCGTCTCTTCATGAAAAATGTAAAAATAAATACCAAGAATCCCTGAAAAAAAAAACAAAAAAGGAGAAACAAAACCATTCGATGATGATGACGATGATTCATAACAATTACAAAATATAGTTACATGATTAATATCATTATTAATTATTATTAGATTAATCCAGAAAATGTTTATCAAAACCAGTAAGAGATCATCATAGCGTAATATAATGAGCTAGGCTACGACTGCAATAACTTAAAATCTCCGGAAGGCTATTAAATGTAGATATATGCACAGCCTTATTCCTTCTAGGACTAGACTGAATTAATACAAATAGACAAGAATTACCCATCTCGTAACGCATTATAATTGACATAAAATGGTATTAATTATTATAAACATTATATTAGTGTAAAAAAAGAAAATATATTACACACGGAGAAAACACCCCATAACTCCTAGGAGTTTCATATAAATAACTAAATAAAGCATCTAAGTTCTATAATTCTGGTGGATTAAAAGTAAAATGTTTAAGAAAACCAAGCTTTATTTATGCACCCACGTAGTGAAATTTCCTACTGCAAATTTTAGTACTTTCTGTTGACGGTACTCATTAAATCTGCAAGGTGCATCGTGACCTCGTGACAAAGTAATATCACGAAATAAATATGAAATCACCATTTTACGTATTTCTGCGGCATTCCAGGGTAAAACCAAAATTGGTAAACCTACTAAAACGATGCCCATAATAAAAATACAGGTAACTAACTCACTGGAACACTTTCTCAATTCTCTTTGGCCTCTTAAAACTTCGGAAGTTTTCATTGCATCTATGCCGTATCTCTATCAACAGACACTATTAAACCCGAAGGAAACACGATGCAGTAAATCGAGATACCTAATGAAATAAATCTTCTACAGTCTACAGATAAGTTAGCAAATCCAGAACTAAATTTCTACGTAATATAATATCAAGACACGTTCGTGAAAGTTGTTCGTGTTCTTAGTCAGTTAGTGAGTCATTCTCATCGGGGAAACCAACCCTTTCTCTGCTAACTGAATGTAAATCATCAATGTCATCGTAAAATGTATCAATGTTTGCACTAGCTGGTAGATCAACTAAATCTGTGTTGAAAATTTCATAATTATTTATAGTCGACATCGTGTCGAACGTAGAAGTACTGTTTGGCAGATAGGATGAGCTAGCTGTACCGCTTATACTTCCATCCGTATTTTTAGACTTCGCTTTCAATGTTTCTTCTCTAATCCTCTCTTGAGTCTCCTTTTCAATTTTCTCGAGACGTTCAAGAATCTTTGTGGGATCAAGACATTTTGGTCTATCATTAAAATTTATATCGATGTCGATCCTGTCAAAAAATAGCATCATTGGAGTAATACTCTTTCTACTTAACTAATTTCACCTACACTTCACTACAATCAATAAATTATTCATAGTTGATGGAGTAAACTAAAAATATACCTAGTTTTCATATAGAGATGCAACATTGTCCTAATGACTTTTTAAAACAGCATTACCCTGTTTCTTCTTTGAACTTCACCCAATCTTCTAGTCGCGGTGCTCGCGGTATTTCAGCTGCTACCGCTCTTGATGCATCTTCCATTGTCTGTTCTATTAATTCTTTTTCAGCATCTGTTAATGAAAGCATATAATTATCCAAGTACCTATATTCGAATTAATATTGCGTGCCGTGAGGCGTGAATGATCAAGTCACTCTTAGTAAAGTTGGATTTTAAATCGATTTTTTGTTTCCTGGTTTGAAAGCAATTTCCGAAGAAAGTTTACCTTAAGTATAAGAGACTAAAATATAATTCTGTATATACTAAATTAAACCGATTATGTACTTGCAATTTAGAAAACCATTAAAACCTTACATTACACTAATTGTGAAACGAGAATGTAACTGCTTGTTTTTACTCCGAAATTACCAAAAACACGCTCTAATAAGTAAGATCCTAAGACCAAGCCGCTTTCTAAATATTAGCAGAGTTATTTTCAAATAGACAAAGTAAACATCATAGGACAAGGTTCTGTTGATTATCTTATGAGCCTAGCTGTGTTAACAAGCAGAATTAACAAAGAGCACGCACAATTTCACAGCTTTCTCACAACAATCTTAGGTCGAGGCCATAATTGGGTAATCAAAATTTAGCAAACACTCGACGACATATTTGCTATGTACTTGAAAAAAAGAAAACTATGAAGCCCAGAAAATCACTAGGTTGGCGTTTTTCGGACACTAATTAATTAATTAAAATGAACAGCTAAGCCACGTAAAAAATAGGAGGATGCGTTCCTAGATTCTTTAAATTTTAATTGTATTGCGTTGTGTCTTAACTACCAAAAGATTGAGAATTATATTAGAACTTCTATTAAGCATAGGTAAGTTTTATGTATTCACAGTTACGAAAGAAGCTATCTAGTCGAGAGAAGTCCTAAGTATGTAATCCCAAGATGAGCAAAGTTTTTGAGCAACTTCATTTTGAATAAATGATTTCAGTTATAAGTCATTGACCTTTGCAGTTCAAGTCGATTTCTGTTGCTATAGCAAAAAAGTATTACAAAAAGGCGACTGCGACGAAGGAGAGGCTAGACTACATTAATAAACACTATATTTAGAAAACATTTTTACAATTATGTCGATCTAGTTGTTAGGTAACCTACGTGCTACGGCTGTGAGCGTGAATCCGGAATAGGAATTGATTCCCGCATGGTATAACGATTGTGTCTATCCTGGTTTGAGTGGATTGCCTTGTTCGCATTGTGCTATTATTTTAGTCAAGTAGCGAGTATTTAGTAACTCTCACTCGCTTTGATTTTGGGACTGAAGCGAGAGGGATATACTAAACACTCGCTGCTCGACTAAACTAGTCGTGTGCATAGTGTGAACAAAGCATATGTGACAGTAACTGTTTGTTTTATAAAAAACTAGCAAACCCAGCGAACTCCGTTTCGCCACCAGATGGCTTCGTTTTATGTAATAAATAAATAAATAAAAATTTCTTTATTTCTCCTCACATACACACATTAACAATTTTTTTTTTTTTTATAATCAATTTTTTATGGCATTGTGAGGAGCTGGAGTCTGTGTTAGGTGTAAAATACCTGTATTACAAATCTCCAGGTCCCCACCCCACGGAAGAACAGGAAGAGTAACATAATAAATATAAGATGTATTACAATTAAGTTTGCAAACATAAACACAAAGGAGTAGGAGAGAAAAAAAAAAATATTTCGGGTAGAAGAAAAAAAGATTATTCACAACATGCCTTAGTGTGTGTGTTTCTATGCTGTGTAACTGCGAGTGTATAATGCGTGTAGTGTTAGTGTGAAGTCTCGTGCAACGTATGGTGGGGAAATGCACCAGTCTGTGTGACGGTCGTGTTTGGTGCAAGTGATAAACGTAAGTCCAACCAATTCAGTTGAAGTGCAAAAATAACATTCATATATGCATATGTAACATTCTTTGCTACAAACCTCACGGAGCCCGAGACCTTTCCAACGAATACAAAACCGTGGAAATCTGTTCGTGCGTTCTGGAGCTATAGCGTCAGGAAGGAAAGCCCGGCTTTTTTTTATAATTATAGTAGATTAAGTTACTTTATACCGACTTCAAAAAAGGAAGAGGTACTATTTTCGGCTGATTGTATTTATTTTTTCTGTTTTGCTAAATCCAATGTTAGTGATGATTAATCAATAAGCACCTACTTAAGTTCGCATTGGCAATCTTGGCCGAAATTAGGTTCGACACGTACCTTCAATGTTGTCAAAGTCAATGTAGACACAGGCACCTATAGTACCTACTGTGTTTGTAAACGGGCTGCTATTTGCTGACTATGTAATCATTGCGATGGTGTCTAAACATTGAGAGAGTTTCTCTATGGCAAAATGTCAGCAATCATTAAGAGACAATCAATGATTACATTAGGTACTTCGCATATTTCTACAACGGATTATGACAACATGGACAGATGAAGGTAATAAATTTTATGGTGTCTTGTCAATGCTGATTAATTTTAATGATTCGAATATTACTACGATGAAAACAACAGTTGTTTTGTTAAGCCATGTAAGTACCTACTTATCGGATTTCATTTTTCTCACCTTTAAAACGACGCTGGTATGCGCTAGAGTTACGACGCAAAGCTCTTGCTAAATTCCCACAGACTGCATCCAAAGAGGTCAACTTACTCCCGCTGCAGAGCCACTCATCATCTTGTAAAATAATACGTTACATCGATTATAAAATTAAACACATACTTAAATATTGTATGCAAATAAAATCGATTAAAATAAATAAGCCGTCAATCATAGGAAAGGAAGCGACTGACTAATTGTCTAGACTAGACAGTCTAACAGACATGTTTTAATCTAAACAACTAACTAGGTAGTACGTAAGTAAATAGATACATTTAATCCATTCTCCATACCCAAAAGCGTATTCAGTATTTCAAGTCTGGTTCGTTGATCTCCGGAATTCTGTCGTCTCTCTTGAGCAGTTTTTGGCCTCGGTGGGACGTTGGGGCGAATTGGTCTGACACCAGCATTCTCAGTGGTGGCTGGCCGACGTCGAACACGTGTCGGTAAAGTATCGCATTCAAAATTGGAATTGCCAGTATTACCACCCTCATCAACTTCTGGAACTTCCTATTAAGTACAAAAATTTTTAATTGAAGAGATCTTTTTGTCTGTATTTATGCATGCAATCGATATACTTAATAAGGTATTTGTTCTAGTTTAGTAGATAGGTCATCAGTGTTGCCTTTTAAACGGCGTCATATTTTTTTTATCACCACTTGTATTTAGGTTAGGTAGGTACCTACTTAACTCGTCGAGTACCGGTTTTATAGACACAATTAAAGAACAATAGGTCGCGGTCACCGGTGACCGCTTAGTGTTTGACAGTTTAATGTAAATAAATAGTGTAACACGAGGGTTAATAGTTAGGTTTGGGCGCATACCTCACGGCGGCGAGACATACCACCGCCCAGCTGCGGCCCAGATGTGGCGCAAGGGTCCTTTATTGTCTTTGCTCGGACGCACCCTTAACGGAGTGAAAGCGAACCCCCGCCAACGACAGTGGACAACTAGCCGCGAGAGCGCATAGCCGCAATTCCGCGAGGCACCCGGTTACATTAACTAATTTTAAGTTAACCCCTGTTTGTGTAGTTTTATAGACACCTGTTCAGTTAATAAACGTTTTCACTATAGTTTTCGCGCATTCGAACCTCATTTCCATCTCACACCCTGACGTAGAGGCTGCAATATAAAGCCCAACGTTACAATAGTTTAGCAAATAAGAACCTATCTACCTATTTAATTAGTTTACCTCGCTTAACATTAACAGACAGTTTAGACATAAGAATTTATGCTTAGGCACTTACGTAAGCGCTTGTTCATGTTTAAAATAACCTACCTATAAGATCAATTTAGTCTTTATCTTGATATACACAGGTTGGACTAGGTTGCTCTTGCGATCATCTCGAGAATTTTTTTTTAAGTGGGGAAAATCATCGAATGACTGCTCCCGTCTGAGTGAGGCGGGAGGGAGTGTCAGACTCTTACTGACTAAAAACCACCCCGTTCCTTGTCCTGTACGTCGAGCCGGAGCCCCGGTTACCCGTTAGGTTCTCCGCGACTCCGAATCGGCATCGACCCTGTTGGGCCCCATCTGTGGTGGCCTGATGGCTCTTTGAAGCGCGCGCGGAACGCGACGCGCCGTACGCTCGGGTCTGTTTCTGGTCGGACGGGGAGCCACCCATGCTCGCCGTCCGCGTCATCTCGAGAATAGAGATCTTTCAAATCCCTCATCATGCTAGTAAAATCATTATCAATGCATAATCACTTAACAATATCACCATTTTAAATAGCTAGGTACCTAACACAATTCTAACACATTCTTATCATTGGGTATTAAATTAGCCAAAATCACTATGCGGCACCATACACGTAGGTAACAATTTTATCAAGATGTCTCGTGCAAGTCATGCCTGCGCAAACCGACTTTTGGACTGGATTCAAAAATCAAGGACACTGATGTCTATTACAATATCCTGGTGAAATATCTAAACCGAAAACCTAGTTATTTAATAAATAAGTACCTACTTAAATGTTGATTCCGATACAAAAATAAGACCGGCAGCATGCCGATGATATAAAGCAGTTCAGTTCAGCGATGTATCTGTACGTAAGGAGTAGTTATTGTAAGTGCGAAACGTATTTTTGTATCATTTCCTTACATCTGGCATAGTCGAAGGTCCGGGTTCAGGTTCGGCTGGCGGTGGTCTGTTTAGTTTTGGCAATAACTCTTGTTCCTCTTCATCATCACTCTCAGAAGACGATGTTCCTGGGCCGAACTCTTCATCCGAATCTAAAAAACAAGTATGGTACCAAATTATCTAAACATGAGTCTTTTTAAATCTGGTATTTATACAAAATAAGTCATCGCCAAAGAACTTGTCAAATGGTGTTAAAAAACGTTTAAAGGTTTATTGACTGGCATCATGACAATAAAGATAGGAATGATGGAAAAATTAATGGCGTAAGAACTTAATTAATACAGCACGCCCATTAATCTGGTCTCACCTTGTAATCAGTACCAATTTCAGGTACCTAAGTATTAAAAATAAAATAAGGTACCTGAGTACCTAATTTATTATATAGGTACATCTTACATCTTACTAAGTTATGACGTCCGTGGCTCTAGAATTCTAGATCTGATAAATTATAGCATTCAGACTATCATGAAATTGAAATTGAAAAAAACCTCATTTAAAAAATTCTGTTCGTTCTAATTTTCAGCGATCTACATTTATGTAAGACTGGTTTTCACCTTAGCAACGAATGACTTAACGAGAATAGAACATGCTAACACGCGATGACGCTAGCAATGCAAAACATCATGTAACTAAACCTAAGCTATATCAGTGGATACAGCTGGTTCATAATTACCAACTGATTAGGGTAGATGCCTAATTTTTATTTTAATGTCCGTCTGGTAGATTGTTTTAAATCATTATTCATTAAACATGTAATTTTTTACAGAAACGAATACTTTCGACGGTATATTGATTAGAAATGTCGCGTGACGTTACTTCTATGTACATTGCATACGTAGAAATTACGTTTTAGCCCCCACTCCTAAACTTTGGTTCGTTTTATCTAAGTATTATTTTATTATACGACAAAATAAAAAAATACGTGTCTAATATTTTTTCATTACCTAACTTACGGATTAATTATATTTTTAATTTTCAAACTCTGTCATCATCCCCATTATGAAGCAGTTTTTAGTAAAAAACTAAGTTCTAGGTATGGTGTTAAATTTTTTAACTACAATTTATTGGTAGATGACATAGGTAGGTATTATCGAAGTTATAGTCGTGCCAACTGTACCTACCTAATAAAATGCTTTGACGTTACATTTAGTTAATTGCAAAATGTATATCTTCTTTAAATTATTTTCGACTGTACTAACTCAACGGTTAGGTTCAAAATTAATTAAATAAAAGTTGCTTTAGTGTCTGTGCAACTACTCAATCGATCTGTTGGAGAAGGTGACATTAAGCTTAAATACATACAGGTAACATCTGTATGCAAAGGTCTGTCATCCAAGTAGACTAGCATTGGCAGTGCGGCAGCCACTCGTGAACGGTAGTCCACATCTTCAGCCGCAGGAGTTCCTGTGAGGGTAAGTTTCCGAAGGGAACTGCAAACTCCTAGTGTCCAAAGTCGACCGGAATCTGATATAGGATTGCTGTGGATGAAAGAATTATTATATAAGTAAGGTGGTAGCAAGACAACCTATCTTTTTCTGTCCAATTTTTCTATTACATTTTCAATTTTATTTTATTGACATAGAGTCGAAAATACAATGAATAAATTTTACAGGTTGAAGTAGGTTGATCTACGGGCCTACTTTGTTCTCGTAAGTATTCAGCGTCTGAGGTAATGGTACAACTTTTAAAACTCTTCTTCTTCAGTCAGAGGCACATTTTTGCAGCTTACCACCTACCACATACATTTCTGCACTACCCAAAGGATGACTGGCAGAGAATGCTGTTAGCATTAAGTCTTCCTTATGCAATTGTATAAAACTTAAATAAATAAATAAATAAAAAATGTATATCGTGGCATGTCGTGGCTCCATGGCCATCAGTCGACTGCAAGCAAGCGACCCATGCTAACCGATGTGACATGCAGGTGTGTCTCTAAGCATAGTACCGCTGAAACCAATAAGCTTATGGAGCGCACGACACGATGCGCCACCCACGAAGTATTTCTGAATTTAGGTTTTTTTTTATATTTGATGGGGCGACGTTTGACCACTATCTCGCCTGGTGATAAGCGATGATCTACGATGGAGCACGTCGTCCCATAAGCAACCTATTCACTCGGGCCTTGATATATAGTTAGTTAGTTACTATTAATTACTATTAATACTTGGCTCGCTACATGTGTGGATTAATAGGTAAGTAGAACATACTCAGCCAAGTTTAAGGTGTGCAGTTTCTGTAACGCAGCCAGGGGTTGTAAATCTTGGATGCGGTTTCCAGCAGCAAACAGCTCCCTCAAATTACTCAATCCCCAAACGCCGTCCAAACTCGATAAACCACAACGGCTTATACTTAAAATCTGTTAAAAACACGTATTTGTAATGACAAAAATATAGAACAAAGATTGAAAGAGAAAAAGTAAAATCATAAAACAAACCAAGTTTGTAAGGTGATATTTTGTGTACGGACGCTATAACTATCATTCACTTGAGAAATCATAACAGTCATTTGTTGTATTAACTTACTTTGAGATGAACTAAACCGATACCAAGATCGCGCAAGGATGAAAGTGCGCTTCCATCCAGCGTGAGAGTGCGTAGTCTTGGAGAGAGAACATGTAGTCTTCTCAAGCCAACTCGATCTGCTACAACACGAAGCTTAGCCTCTCGAATGTGCAAGACTTCATCGTCTGTTGTCACACCACTGCTTTGTTTCTGAACCGAAAACAATTAACGGTTTAACAAAATAATCAAATCAAATAAACTAAAATATCTACTACCTTGTAAGACCCTAAAGTCTCACTAGTGCCATCTAGTGAGTGTAAAATCAAAAACCCTCATTGAAATATCTACCTCTATGCTCCACGTTTTGTAATCATAAGCGACCGGAATTTCGAATGGATCAAAATGTATTTTTAGATAAATTTTTGTGTCTTAATATTAAGGAAGTCTTATTTATGTCCAACCTTTGATTTATGTACCTATATAAAGTTTACGACTTACCAAAAGCTCTATCAAAGTCAATTCACGTGGAATAATGATGCGCCTGTAGCCTGGAAGCCGTCGTTCTAATTCTTCCTGGCCTGGCGGTTGATCCGGTTCAGGAGGGGGCATAGCCAAGGCTCTAAATAAAAAAGGAAAATTTTTTATCACAACACGCCTTTTATTCCCAAACAGTAAATTTACACCAAGTATATAGTTAGTTCTAATCCCATGTACACAACGCCAAGTTTTATGCTATTAGGTACTGCAATTTTCGAAGTATCAGGGTATTTCGTCGTATATAGGAGATATTTTTAATACCTCTAGAATATTAAAAATATCTATAGAATTACATTATTTACCTAAATAAAGGCGTAACTCGTATGTTCGGAGGTTCAGGAGAACTGGCGCTAGAGATTTCTGACGGGGAAGGTGACGCAACTATACTCGGCGTTTGAGGGCCACTGCCCAGTTCAAGACTTGGTGCTTCGAACGCTGGCATTTTCTAACTTCCTTAACCGTTATCACTACCAAGAATACAAATATTAATTATGGTTATTGTGCACATATAACAATTAAAGCGTTTCAGTTACATGGGTAAATATTTCGGAATTTAGAAACTAACGTTATTACAGCGCTTTGGATGAGTAATAGCAAAATTTTTGTTACAGTACAGATATAGAAAAACTCCTATATAATAATTATTTTTATAAGTATGCAGTAAGTTAATAATATTATTTTCTAGCAAAACCACTGCAAATATTTTTGTACTTTGTTTATCGGTTGCTAATAACAACAATTAACGGTAACAATGATACTAATTTTAGACTTCCCCTATACTTCTATGCTCTTTGTTTTAGAGGTACCCCGGGGCTGGACGTCTAAGGGATAGGATGCCAAAACTAGCAGACGGGTCACTAGTCACCTGATGGCTCCTGATGGTAAGCAATCAGCGTCGCCAATAAATACCACCAACACCAGAGAAATTAAAATTCTATTGAAAACATTCTCGACTTTACGACCAATATTTAACATTATCAATGTTGAGAGTGTTGAGACTCCTTCCCACAGACGTATAAGATAATAATTCTCTTGTGCTCCTGCCTTACGGCTGGAATCCGAGTTGGGCCATACAATAGAGTATAATAAGTATAGGGACCACACTGACTGCAAAATAAGTCTACAAACATCCTACAAAATAAATTATAATTAATTGCTCTATGTATTTGGAATATTGTAGGCCTAGGTTCTAGACGTTATCTTACAATATTTTATTATTGTTTGTTTTACTGAAAATAATCGTAATAAACAAATAAACAAAGATTTAACAAGCCTGCATTATATTCTATTCTAAAACTAAACAAATAATTTATTTTACATATTACTGGACGAAATGAGAACGAACAAAACCACAAGTCTATCTGTCAATGTCATCGTCGTGTATAAAAGTATTCCCCGTTTTCCCGCTCTTTTTAGTTCTTGCATATGACGTTTACACCGTTTACCATTTTGAGTTTCATTTTATACGATATTAAAGTTAAGATATTAAATAAAAGTGCCTAATCCTATAATAATCATTCAGTATGGGTATCCTAAACAATCTTCTTGCAGAACATGACGAATATCAGTATTTGAGATTGGTACAAAAGATAATTCAAACAGGTTTGTTTTCACGCTAATTATTTCTTGAATTAACCTTTTTATTAACTACCTAATGAATGCAGGCGATGAGTACCTATATGCTAGTAATAGCAAACATGATTTCACTGCATTCAGTAGTTACAAAATTGCTTTAACTTTGATGCAGGTGACAAGAGAGTCGACAGGACAGGCGTCGGAACTCTATCTATTTTCGGGGCTATGCAAAGGTATTCTCTCAAGAATAACACCCTGCCTTTACTTACTACTAAACGAGTATTTACCAGAGGTGTTATTGAAGAGTTACTTTGGATGATATCTGGCTCAACTGATGCTAAAGTACTTTCTTCCAAGGGTGTGCACATCTGGGATCCTAATGGATCGCGACAGTTTCTAGACAACTTGGGATTTACAGATAGAGAGGAAGGTATGAATGCTATTCTGATTAAAACTGTTGAAACCAATTCGTTCATAGACCCTATTTAAAAATATCTTTTAATGGGGATCAAAATTATATAGATATAAATTTTAATTATTTTACAGGTGACCTGGGCCCAATTTATGGTTTCCAATGGAGACATAGTGGAGCTGATTATGTTGATTGTAAAACTGACTACACAGGTCAAGGGGTTGACCAATTAAAGAATGTTATTGAGACAATTAAGTAAGCTTGATCAATTACAATGCACAATGAGAACTAAACATAAGACATGTAATTAATTGATTGTATCCTATATTTTGTTTCATTATTTTAGGAATCGCCCTGCAGATCGACGAATGCTGATATGTGCATGGAATCCATCAGATCTAAGTAAAATGGCTTTGCCTCCATGTCATTGCCTCGCTCAGTTCCATGTATCAAATGGCAAACTATCTTGTTTGCTGTACCAAAGGAGTGCAGATATGGGTCTGGGAGTTCCGTTCAATATTGCCAGTTATTCGATCCTCACACACATGATTGCACATATCACAGGATTGGAGGTAACAATCATGATATATTTTGTTGCAATTTTTTTTTCAGTAATAACTAAAACTAAGTAACACATTTTCTTTGTGACCAGGCTGGTGAATTTATTCACACAACAGGAGACACCCATGTATACTTGAATCATATAGATCCCTTGAAGGTACAGCTACAAAGAACACCCACAGAATTCCCCACATTAGAGTTTGCCCGCCAAATCAATTCTATTGATGATTTCAAATATGAAGACTTCATCATCAAAGGATACAAGCCACAGCCTAAAATAGATATGGAAATGGCTGTTTAGAATATTTTACAAAATATGTAGTAAGTAATGCACTTGGTCCTAGTTATAGATATTGTCTTAATATAAACAAAAAACATTTTTTAAGAAGCCAGATATAATTTTGGTAATAAAAAGTATTATTGCAAAATGGCAAGATAAAATTTAAAATCAGTATTGCTACTTGCTTATAATTGCAATAATTATCTTCTTTCCTGATTATATTTTCCTGTGAAATGCAATGTCATTTCTGAAAAGAAATAATAATGAAAAAATTAAGTATTTCATGATTATTCCTTATTGGTTGACCTTATTGTTTACTGGAACAACTAACTATGGGCATTGATATGAAGCAAAGTTTGTAAATTGATAATAATGTGTGTAGCACCTGTAGATAATAATTGTTTAATTCGAAATTAAGATTAAAATTAAGAAATACATCTGTTTTTGATTTTATTAAATTATTTTCATCCAAGCAATCAAAAACTTTTCTTAAGAAGAGTAACTCTTACAATTATTTAAATTAAATGATCAGATGATATAAAAAAGCTTTATTTGAAACAATATTTTCATAAATTATTGCACATCTACTTCTAACTTGTGTTTTCTTATGCTGTAATTGTGTATATTTATCTTTAAAAAATACCAAATATTCGTTTAGATAATGGTGTCCTTCATAGTTAAAATAGAAATACACCTGCACTAAAATAATGCAGTCAGATGAGCATAAGAATTATTTTATAATATTCCTATAGGAATTGTGATGTTCAGACTGCATAGTTTAGAAATAATATAGGAGTCTTGAAATAGCTTACAAGATGAAAGTTCATACTTTATTGTAACAAAAAAATCCAATCATTGACAATAGCCTATTATTATAATGAAGTATATTGTCACTAGCATGGGTACGAAAATGAGTCAAGCATTAAAAAAACAGAAGCAATTATATTATTTAATTTTATACTTGCTTATTTATACTATAAAATTAATTCCCCATAGTAATTACATTCATGGCAATGCAATCTAAAAATAATTATAATTAATCCTAATAAAATCATTACATTTTGTAAAATTCAACAATATCTAACAAATTCTTAATTTGTTGTCTTACAGCTAATCAACATCATGTGTATAATGTATGGTTTGTACATTATTTTCCTTCCTTTAGGAGTCTTAAATTTTTATAGCAAAGTTTTTACATGCAATGGATTGCTGAAAGCAACTGAAATTAACAAAGTGTTCTCGAAAAAAAGCAAAGTTGTGTATTGTATTGTAAACAAATTATATATAAATTCAAGAAAACTTTTTGTTTTACATAAAGTTTTCTTCAATTTAAAACATTTACACAGAATGTAACCAGTCCAAAACTTCAGATTTTAACCAAGTTCAATTGATTGCAGCAGCCATGTTTTTTTTATAATAAATATAATATAAGTACATTTATACAATAGTAATCCGAAAACTGAAAAAATAAGAATAGTGTTGTGATTATTCTTTGGCTAATTCTTAATAATCTTAAGAAGGAAAGCAATGACATGCAACAGCCCATTAACTGCTTAATAAATAGGTATACATAATCCATGTTAGTTAATGAAAATTTTACAAAACATCTTGTAACTGCCCTTCATCAACACATCTGATCATCTTGAGGTGGCATCTAGAAAAAAAAAATGATAAGTCAAAATCAAATAAATAAAATGACATCACACTTTTAACTCGTCGAGTACCGGTTTTATAGACACAATTAAAGAACAATAGGTCGCGGTCACCGGTGACCGCTTGGTGTTTGACAGATTAAAAACATTCCAGAAAGTTATTCAACAGAACAAGAATGTAGTTAAATATCCAATATTTTATTATTTTTTCCTGAATAATAATTTTTACTAATATATGCTAGTCACATACTTTTGTAGTTATAGATACTATCCAGACTAAATTGTAACAGTATTTCTACTATCCAGGTCATGAAGCTTACAGTAATGAGGGGTCACTTGTACTAGGTACTAGTTAAAATAGGCAATCTTTGTTTAGAAATAATAAGTTTTAACCAAATGTCCTTTCACAAGGTCAGATGCAAAGTCTTAACATATATAGTATATTTTTCTTGTACAGTGAATTAAACATACCTGACCATTACTACTTGGGACGGGTAAAGCAGCCAGTTGTTCAACAAGTGCCATTGTAATCTCTGATTCCACAGTAATTTCCACCCACAATGTATCTAAAAACAAAGAAAAATTAATATCTGCAATTTTAATATAATATTTCAATAAAACACACATGTAATTAAAGATTTTTAAGAGAATAACTCAAGATTGCTTTGAGCGACTCTGTAACTCACAAGTTACAAAGTAGGTACTTAACCTCTTATTTACTTTGAATTTAATGCATCATCCTGGGATTTCCTCCTGAATCATCGATACATTTATAATTTTACTTTCATGTGCACATTACACCTATTATGGAACAACAATTTGTGAATTACACAAATAATTATTCCATTTTCTTATCAACTTTGCTTTCAACTACACTTACCTCCTATTTGATCTCCTTTGTCAGTCACCAAATGGAAATATCCTCTGTGAATGCCTGGTGTAGTTGGCGCTACTAACTTTAATGTAACTGTAGTGGAATGTCCTGCAGGTAAAGGTGGAACATAGACAGGTGTAGCACCTAGTGGTTCACCTCCGCCTTGAATCAGCCTACAGCTGCCTGGCCACCCCTCGGCACCAGTATTAGCAATGTTCCAACTTTGTTCAAAACTACAAAATACAAGTTTATTTAATATAAATAAAGTCTAAACATCAAAAGGTTTGTGAATGAGAATAATATTATTGTTTACAGAAATGAGTCATTGCTTGACCTAATAAGCAATGACTATTAACTGATACATTTCTTTATGTTAATGTTATTGTCAAAGTAGCTATCCATTGTTTTCTTACCATGCACCAGGTCCTACAGCAGCCTCTTGAGTTTGTGCAGCCTTAAGTGACATGGATGGCAATTTAGGTGGTAATGTATAATCTAAATAACAACATATTGCTGTTTGTAGGTTCCTGCAAAAACATAATTTTGTTTAGATTTATTGACATAAAGGCTCACTTTTATAAAGTGATTGTAAAATTTAACACAATATTACCAATTACTCATGTCCAAGAAAAAGCTGGCTGTGTTATAATTTATACTAGGACCCAAGAGTCTCTGCATTTGATTAATAAGTTCATCTCTGTCTGTTGTGTTCATACAACTGAATTGTAGTAATAAATTTTGATCAATCTCTCCAACTGAAGAACCGTCAATATCCATTTTATAAGAATAAATATAATCAGATTGGATCACAAATCACTTTGAAGGTGTTTCACCACTTCACAAAATATTGACATGCCCTTTGTTTACGTACGTCAGCTGACTTAACTGATGCACTGTAAATACGATTGAATTTGTAATAACTAACAACAAAATACACTTCAGCCACATGAATTATTTAAACGATTTCAGGTAAAGTCATAATTGTTATTATATTAAAGCGAAGATTACGTCGCATTATTTGTTGAAAACGGGACAAAATAGAATGATTTAGAGTTGCACCAATTGCAAGATGTCAAATTTTTCGCAAAATCGTGTATGAATAGAGGTGTCCTACATAGTCTTTTCACTCTAACGACTGTTACTAAAATGTAAACTTTCAATTAAAGATAATATTTTACATTTAAATTATTTTTTTAATCAAAGTTATTGTTACTTAAATTGTAATAGTTTATAAATAGTAAGCTAAACTGAAAAAACTACGTACTTTGAAGTATTTTTTTTTTGTCTTTGGCAACCGGACTTTGGAGTATATGTGACATGACATTGACAGCGACGGATAAACTTCATTAATCGCTTGATTGATTGATTGATTGATTTGGTGGATAAGGATTTGCTTTACTCGTAGTAGATTTTGGATTATTTTGCATTTGATTTTCTTCAAAGGTTTTAAAATTACTAATTAATGAATACAGTGTTATTAATATTGGTAGAATAATAGAGTATAAGTTAAGAAGCAACGGTTCATCGGTTAAGTTATGTCGTACAATATTAAATCGATAACTTTGTAGTTGAAAGGCTTCAGATAATTAAATTACCACTACAAATGTTTCAAAAGTACTGCAAATACGATTTCAATGACGAAATGGAAGAAGAGCAACAAAAAAAATTGTATTATTGTTCGTATGCAGGCTGCGCATCATATTTTGATAGACCCTATAGATTAGCACAGCACTTTCTGGCTCACAATAACATAGTAAGTTTCATAAAGATACCAAATTGGTTATAAACACGTTGGCGACACAATAAATTAATTTCGGTCTGGTTATTTCAGAGACCATTTCCTTGCAATCAGCCTAACTGCAACAAAGCATACACAAACAAGAGTCACTTGGATCGCCACATGAATTCTGTGCACTTGCCTCAAGAAAAGGATGTAGTTTACAGGTAAAGTCAAACTTTAATTTACTTATAACTATGTATTTCAATCCTATTGGATCATCATTGTGAACGGCATGTAACAATCCACTGCGGAATAGTCTAGCCAAGGAGCCACTGCCAAATATGTAGTCCATTACTTAAACCTATGGGAAAAGTTAAGGAGTAATATGCTGTCACCATATTAAAGAATTGTATTAAATATCACCATATTAAAGAAGGGCCAAATTAAAAGTCCCCTAACCCATGAGCATGCATGAGAAGACTGATGATGTTGATGAAGTGAAAGAGATATGTCAAAACCATCGCAATTAGCGTTCCATAGTCTCTGTCTACCCCTATTAGAGACAGGCATGAGGTTATGTACATATGCTGTCACCACATGGTGGATATTATTATATAACTGAAATAATAATGTAATGTATTCTGTTTCAGCTGTTCACAATGCATGAAACCATTTGCAAACCGTCAGAATCTCAAAAGACATATTAATACTGTCCACGCTGTTCAGTTCACATGTGATCTGTGTAAAATGACCTACAAAAAGAAAAATCAACTTACAGCCCATATGTATCAACACACGGGTATAAAAGCTTTCAAGTAAGTAATTTTAAAATAATGTTTAAATGTATTAATTTTGCCACAATTTTTCAATTACTTGAATTTCTTGGTTTTATTTTCAGATGCGATATTTGCACAGAATCATTTGTTAGTCTTTACCTAAAGAAGAGACACATGAGATATCACAAAACTTACAAATGTGAAGATTGTGATTTAGTTTTTAATCACTGGTCAAAATATCAGAAACACAAAAAATCTAAACATGTTCAGAGTTGTGAGTATTCATTACTTAAAAATAATGTCCAGTTTAATATTTGTTTTTTTTTTCTTGAAAGAGGAACCAAGGTACAGTATTCTCACATTTCACTACAGTTAATGTGTATATAAACAAGGAGGAATTCAAAAACCATTAAACTAGGGCAATTAAGGTTCTTCCCCTGGAAAATAAGATATATATATCAGCATATGAATGGATATAGTTTAAGGTATACCTTACCTTAGACATTCAACCATTGACCTTTACAGTAATTATCATGATCCGGTGAGAATACAAGTATTTGATTTTGTACATGTAGTATAACAGTGGCTACTGATTTTTATTAAGTTGAAAATAATTTATGCAGGCTTTTTGTTATAAAATAAATTTAAGGCAGAGAGAGACTTTACGGTTTTCTTTGTTCTAGACTCATCAACTCCTCAACAACTTAAATCATTAAAATCATTATTTGAGAGCAATGTCACAGTTTTACAACCGAAATTTAATTTACGGCTCCCCGGCGGTGAGCGTCAGATGTGGCAGTCACCTTCGGCCGAAGACTACGCCGAAGGTGAAAATATATTTATCACTAATTTAGATTAGTAGAATTTAGGAATAATCATTTCAATCACATTTATAAGATTGGATTAAATTGAAATGGCATGTAATTTTTTATTTTTATTTCAGTGTTTGTTTGTAATGAATGTAAGAGAACATTCAAAGAAAGAGGTCACATAGTAAGACATCTGAAAACACATGGTCAGAAAAAAATTACCAAAACATTCCCTTGTCCCTATGAAAATTGCCCAAGGTAAGAACAACACGGTATTAAAAATAACAGTTTTTAAAAAACAATTCATAATATTTTTTTATTCTTACGATTTTTACATAATTGTATTTAACTGGTTTTTAGGTTTTACTCCAGGAAGAGTAATCTAAAGCAGCATATTTTAGTTAGCCATATGCAAATATACCACAAATGCACACTTTGTGAAGCACAACTATCCACCAAGGTAAACTATTTTTGGATCCAAATATGCTAAACTAATATACATATTATTAACTAAAAATCCCAGGTTACTCAATGTAAATCAATGTCGCGCAGCCTACTCTAGACTTACCCGCGATTTTTAGTTAATGTAGTAGTGTATGTCTCACGATTGTTTATAAAAACGAATATATTGATTATTTCGTGTTAGTTTTTACTTTTTAGGAGTAATTTTACAAGTTCTATAATTATTTTATAAAACTGGAAAAATTCTTATAATGTTGCAGGCTAAGTTAAACTATCACATGCAATTGCATTATAAAGTGAAACCAGAAGTAGTACCAAAAACTGACAAGGAGCGGAAGCCTCGGAAAGATGAAGGAACTTTCAAAATATCAACAGCTCTCAAATTATCTGGATTGCCTGCCCCACCTGAGAAATCTGTTACTTCAAACAGACCTGTGAATTTGTCTGTAAAACCTGAACACATAGAGGTTGAAGTGGATGTTCATGTCTGAACAGTATTTATTAAAACTATTTTGTAGTTTTTAAGGAAATCTCATTAAAATAAGAATGAGATTGCTTGGTCTCCTACTGCATTCTAATAAATATCTTCTTGATCGCATCTTTTGATGCTGGTGTACCAAGTTTATTAAATTAGTATGGTATTAGTATAGCATTGACAGACGACATTGTGTGAATGTAGTCATTCGCACAATGTCTGTAGACTCTGCTTGGATTATAACTTCTAGCATTCTAGATGGATAGATGTTGTATTTTGTTGATTAGTAAGAATTTATAAAAACTAGAGAGGTAGGTAAGTATACTGACACCTTCATGTTTATTATTATTTTTATATATTCTTTTCAATTATTGCTTACATTATGTAAGAAGTACTTGGTATTCTTTTTACATATTTGCTATGTAGTAAAGTAAAACCAATATGAAAGCCGCCTCTATTTTTAATGCATTAAATAATAAACATGAAAGTGATTATCAAAGTAAATTAAATAAAATTCTTGACATTTAGTTAATAAGAAAACTAAAAACATTTCCTATTCATACTAAGTTTATCTGTTTAATATAGATTTCATAATTAAATGTCGTAATCTTAAGCATTTAAATAAGTATTGGTAGTTGTTAGCAAATTGAATCATTTATGCTGGCATTTAATAATGGATAATATTGCGGAGTGAAAATTATTTGAATTGTAATAGTGATTTCTTAATAAATTAACAGTTGAGAATAAAATAATGTTTCTGTACATGTTCTGGTTTTATTTTAAACTAGCTTCTGCCCGCGACTTCATACGCGTAATCCCATTTTTTCCCGTTGCCGTTCGTGATTTTCGGTAAAAAGTAAAAAAAAAAAGTATTCTATAAAAAGTACCTATCCTATGTCCGTCTCCTGGTTCTAAGCTACCTCCCTGCCAATTTTCATCCGTCATCTAAATCGATTGAGGCGTTCTTGAGTTATAAATAGTGTAACTAACACGACTTTCTTTTATATATATAGATTGAAAAAAATGGCGATGCCAAATGCCTTTATTGGCCATGTAGTATACAGTATACATATATAGTGATTAAAATGCTTGATGTATGATGGAATATCCATTAATTTTTAAAATAAAAGAGTGCCACAAAATGAATTTATCAACTAATATTTACAAAATTACAACTCAGATTTATTAAATCATGTAACATTTCAATCATATGACGTTGACAGGCAGCAGGAATATAACTTTGACAGCTCCTGATATCATGACAAAGACAGATAGACAGTGACAACGTATAATTATAAACCGTCAAACCGATGCAGTCGTAAACTGAAAACTGCAGTTATAACTTTAGTTTTCGAACAAATATATTTCGAAAAATCTAGTTTCCTCCAGTTACAAATAATTTCCTTGAACTATACATAAACTCTCAAGTAAAGTCTGTGACACAATGGAATTTCATTTGAATATCTTTACTTTAAACTGTTGGTAAGTTATACTGTTACTGTTGGCAAGCTATGTTTATGCACAAAATATTGTTAGTGCTAGTCTTCAATAATAATTTTATTGTGCGTGCAGCACATTCACTGTATTTTGATTGTTACAAGAACTTTTGTATTATTATGTAAACTTGACCACTTGTAAACTTTTTTGTAAGGTCTTTTAATACAAACAACTTTTATATTGATTTTTATTTATTGTCAACCAATAAAGTTCCAATATTAGTACTTTCGCCAAGGCCAAGGCCAACTTCAAAGCTCAATGAATTAAATACCTACCTATTATTTATTTATTGGAACTATTGTGTTCCAGATATTAACGTTATGATTGTTAATTTATATTTAGGTCAGAGTGTATCTCTGTCGGAACAATGCATTGTTTTATCTCCATTCTTCATATAATAAAAATATGTCTCAATTTCAGGGGCATACCAGTAGTGTCAAAAAACCGTACCGAGCGTTATGAAGCCATAGCCAAATATTTGCAAGAAAGTTCTCATACAATAGTCTGTCTACAAGAAGTCTGGAGTGAAAAGGATTATTTGTATTTGAAAGATAGTTTAAAAAGCAATCTCCCTTATTCTTACTACTTTTACAGGTAAATCAGTCTAAACAATATCGAGGGGTAACGGGCTATTTGGTTTAAGCGACATTTTTGCAACTTTACAGGAGAGCCTTTTAAAGTTTGAAATTTGGAAAAAAAATTCGTAACAAAAACATTTCTGCAGTTATTTGAACGGGGTAAATTGCATTGAAATTTAAATTAAATTATCTAGTTGCTGATGCTAATTCTAAATAAAGCGGACCTTTAATTACAAAGATAAATGTCGCTTAATACAATCTGCCCTTTTTTAGAGTCAGGAAAAACGATTTAATTGACTTCATAACTACAATTGGCTACAAGGAAAAAAAATTAAGCGACAATGCACTCTATTTATAGAGTCAGCTAAAAAATATGAAGTGACGAAACCCAAAATTAATAGAAGCAAGCTATTTATCTTAACTACCAATTCAGACTAAAATGAGTGACAGGCTAATTTACTTATGTGACATATAACATAGAAATATTAACGTTTAATGTTTATGTTTATTTACATCTAAGGCGATTAATGGCTGATAAAACAACCTGGATATATCGCAATCACCGAAAATCTCAGATGCTTACATTGAATAAATAAACACAACACAATATCAAAGTATTTATTTAGAGTAATAATAACAGTTTCAATAGGAATATCGATTATATTTCAGCAAAATCAATTAAATTAATGGGTCATTTACTGAAATTGCCGTTTTGTATGAAAAAATTTAAACGATTTTTTCATGTATTTTTTATTTGTATAATCAACGTAATCACCCATGCAATCAATGCATCGTTGCCAACGCAGTGGCAGTTTATTGATGCCCTTCTTCAATCAGCTGGACGGGTAGCAACAAATTCTTCAAATGCATTTTGTACTGCCTCTCGGTTATTAAATTTTTTCCCGCCAAGAAGTTATCCAAATTCTGGAAAAAGAAGTAGTCTGGTGACTGGTGAGTAAGGTGGATGTCGGAGAGCTTCACAACCCCAGTTCTTGTAACGTGGAGGCCGTCTCTTGTGCAGCTTTAGGTCGCGCGTTGTAATGCAGGAGCAATGGAGATTAGCGATTGACCAGTGCTGGTTGGAGATGTGTCAGCTTCTCCATCATTGTGTTCAGTTCTTCACACTACACATCCGTAGTAATGCTCACTCCGTTTGGTAAGAATTTGTGATGAATCAGAATAGCGCGAGCGCTAGACCATCAGTGACCATCACTTTTCTAGGGGTAAGTTTTCGTTTAGGGCATTGTTTAGGTGCTGAACTAGGATTGAACCAACATGCTAAACGCGTGTGGTTATCACACAGATTTCATTTTTCATCGGAGGTGACAATGCAAATCAAAATTCTTTCATTTGTGTGTATATTGAGCAGTGCAGTGCAAGGCACTACTCGATGCATTTTTTTTTAAGGGTGGAAAATTATCGAATGACTACTCCCGCCTGGGTGAGGCGGGAAAGAGTGTCAGACTCTTACTGACTAAAAATCACCCCGTTTCTTCTCCTGCACGTCGAGTCGGAGCCCCGGTTACCCGTTAGGTTCTCCGCGACTCCGAATCGGCATCGACCCTGTTGGGCCCCATCTGTGGTGGTCTGATGGTTCTTTGAGGCGAGCGCGGAACGCGACGCGCCGTACGCTCGGGTCTGTTTCTGGTCGGACGTGGAGCCACCCATGCTCATCGTCCGCAGGCCCGCGCTTACGGTAACTGGAGATCGTCCCGCGATCCCCGACGCCAGGTGTGTCCTTCGCGGTGGCTGGGTTGCGAGGAGCCAGCGCTTCGCTGCCTCACGCGTCCCGCCTCCTCCTTAGCTAGCATAACTGCTTCGCAAAAGGAGGAGACGGCATCCCAGTCCCCCTCGCACTGCTCGATGCATACTTAGCTCTGTTGATCATTTAGTTTGTGGGACACCCACTTATCAAGCTTTTTTACCTTGCCAATTTGACGCAAATGTACCAATATTGTTTTGACGCTAACGTCGAAAGCTGTTGCTAAATCAGCCGTGGATTGTATGTCATCAAAGTCATTGTTGCCAAAGTCTTCGAACGACCGCGAGTTTCATCTTGAAATTAAAGTACTTAGGATTCAATTTCGATGAGCGTTTTATGTAAACACTGGCGGTGTGCACGCGTCCGGTCTGTCTTCGGCGCACTCTGGAGTGACTGGAGCGCCAGCGCACGATAGTCCAGTTGGATGATAACGATTTTTAACACCAGGGCGATGAATTAAACATGGTATCATATGACATGATTGAAATGTACCATATTAAAACTTAGTGATTGAAAGACCGACTCGTATTTCTATGAATACTGGAAAAATGTTTCAATATTCATTATCAATGTTATCGTCTGTACAAAACGACATGCATTTAAAAAAAAATGAGGGTTAAATGGTTTATGACTAAACAAAATATCTGAACGAAAACAACTATTTGGTTTAAGTAGCACCCTGCGTAGAAAATAGAGGCAGCTAGAAATGTTTAAGAGACGTACCATGACGCATTTGGATGACGGACAAATGTTTTAAGCGACATCACACCGTGTGATTAGTGGGAAGTCAAAATGATTCAAGTTACTTGTTAATAAAAATTAGAAACAAGAAAAACGCTTTAACTCATGTTGACTTAATCATTAGAGATAGGGTGACTGGTTTATGTCTCGGTTATTAATATGATGGTATGGTTCAAGTACATAATTTAATAAAAAATGCGAAATCCATGTCGTTTAATACACTGCCACTTTGGAAACAACATGAAAATAGAATTGTTTGAAACGCCAAAAAAGTGCTCCGATTTTAATAAAACCGGAATCATTCGACGGAGAAAAATTCGCTGATTCCGAATATATATATAACTCAATATCGCCCAAAATGTCGCTTAAACCAAATAGCCCGTTACCCCTCGATATGTTATTTATTTTTATGGATATTGGAATCATATTGGTATGAAATCCAATTATTCTGTAATGTGTTCTAAAGTTATAAAACTAAGATGTCAGTAACAAAAGCTATTATTTTTATTGATTACTTTTAAAAGCTTGTGCATTGTGTCATGATAAACAAGTATTAAATAAATATTGTTAAATATACCTATTTCCTTATTTTACAGTGGTGTACTTGGATCAGGCCTATGTATATTTTCAAAATGGATAATGCAAGATGTATTCTTCCACCAATGGCCTCTAAATGGTTATATTCACAAGATACATCATGGAGATTGGTTCGGAGGTAAAGGAGTTGGTCTCTGCCGTATTAAGTATGGTAACAGACTAATTAATGTATATTGTACACATGTGAGTAGTGAGTACTTATATCACTTAACACATACCACATTTGCAGTCAAAACTCTGTACCCATCAAAACTACTAATTGATTTTGCAGTTTTTGGTCTTACTCAAGAAAGAGAAATACAGGAAGGGTTCCTATTTCCCCTTAACACTAACCTTGGGTTACCCCTAGGTTGCAATTTATTGTCTACCTACTTTGACAAGAAGAGTTGAGAAATTTGACTGCAACACCTACATAACATCTATACATATAATAAAATCATAGAAATCCCAAAACTGTACTTTGAATATTTTTTAAAAAGAATACTTGGAGCGTGATCTACAATTGATGTGGAAGCCAAAAATATGTTTTTTAGAATATTCATATGTTTTTCTGTATATATGTCCGGGATGATCTCTAAAAGTACTGCATATATTTACTTCAAATTTTGCATGAATATTACTAATAAGTCGGGTCAACATATAGGCTACATATTATCATGCTATCATCTACAGGGGAGGAACCCTATACTAGGTACTTAATCAATTCTGACGACATTAATTACCGTAGAATGTCCCTTGATAAAGACTAATTCGAAAGCATAAATTCTGCCAGAAGTCATCACTCTACGCGGACGAAGTCGCAGGCAAGAGCTAGTAATAATATAACTTACTTAGTCATCTCTTGACATCGTTCAAAAATGAGGCTAAGTGTGTGAGATAAAAAGTATTGTCAATTTAACTGTGGTATGATTCTTTATCTGATACCGATACAGAATTTTAGTATTAGCATTATCAGATTGTTATTTATGTAGCACTTTGTATCTGTGAGTACAAACACTGCATACAAACATTACTAATGTGGTTACTGACCAAAATAATACACCATGAACAGCTATTACGATGCTACATGGAAATTGCCCCAACATTTAATATTACTAAACAAAATATTTAAATACTGTAAAATTTACATAAACATTTACTGTGTTAAGTGGGATAAGATTTACAGTGTAAATCTTATTCCACTTAACACGTTACCTGCCGCGTAGGTCACCGGTGACCTACGTTAGCGGAGGATTTGCCTTCAGCAGTTTTCTGTCGGCAGTCAAAGGCTTAAATAAAAATTTATTTATTTCTTATTCCTAAAATCAATCTTAACTCCCATCTTTCATTATCGAATCGTGTTAATTATTATATTATACTAACAAATAACTTATTTTTGTAGTTTAATGACTCATGATGTCTTTAATTTCAGCTCCATGCAGAGTACCATGAAGACGATATTTATTTGGCTCACAGGATGTTGCAAGCATATTCAACAGCTGAATTTGTTAACTTAACAACTGGACCCGCCGACATATCAATTTTAGCTGGGGATCTCAACACTGGACCTGGCGATTTATCTTTCAAGTAAAATACTTACTACTTGTATAAATTAAATATGCAAAGACATCAAACTGTTTTTCATAGAGGTGCACACACAATTTCTCTAGCTATGTTATGAAGAAGGGGACCTCTAAGGCATTCGTATATATCGATCACAACTGCTACTACTGCAAATATGCGATAATCTTAAAATAATACGACTTGCCCCAGGAATCGAAACCATGGCCTTGACACAATTTAAAGTACGGAAACTGTTTACACATTTGTTTATTTCCAGGATAGTCACGCAATTACCACCTTTGGTAGACCCCTTTGCTGAAGATCCAACTAAACCAAAACCCTTTGGAACTTGTGACTGTGCTAATAATAGCTATTCAGATCCTAATCAAGTGAAGATTTGTCCAGAGGGAAAGAGAATAGATCATATTTTATATAAACTTAACCCTGCTTGGGAGGTAAGTTTTAAAATAACTAATCATTATAGAAGTCATTGCCACGATTGGTTTCTGTACTCACTTTTTTTTTTATTTCAGGCTGAAGTAATCAAGTTTGGCAACCCATTACCTGATAGAGTGCCTGGCAAAGACTTCTCGTATTCTGATCACAATGCAGTTTCCTTAGAATTACTTGTTAAACCACTTGACAATAAATATGTAGAAAAAGAAGTTAACATTGGCGATACGTTCGATGACACAGCTACCCAAGCTATTAAGGTTTGTGTAGAAGCTATGACTAACTTGTCAAAATCTAAGACACTGTACCTGACAGTTGGTGGTTTGATCCTGATGTTCTTAATTGGCACGGTTGGTTATTGGCCAAACAGCATAATTTATGATGTAATCAAACTATTCATCACTGGACTTTGCTTCTACTATCTTATAATGGGATCATTATGGTACAGAATCGAAATGAACAGCTTGAAGGCTGGATTGACTGCTTTAGAAAATTTCTGCAGAACAAGAATTGAATCAAAGATCGCCACTGATTAAGCCTTGCTTTACTGCATACAATCTGACTAAAGGCATATCAAAGAGTACATATTAAATAATATAATTATTAAATACTGTAATTTTGTAATAAGGAATTTAAACATTCCTACATTATCTGCGTTTATGATGTTCTTATGAGGCTGTTTACTTAATAATTGATTAGAAAATAAGTAAATGAAGTAATAATATTTAACCAAGCAAGTATTACATGGAATTGTCAGAAATTGTGAGCTGCGCCTAGAGTGTGAATGTATGCAAATTGCTTTTCTCTGCAAATTTCTCTCTCAGATATCACGCAATATTATTCATTTTTTATAATGACTATCGTGAGACATACTAAATTAACTAAACGTGACGGGTTACTCACGTAAATATACTAAGAAAAACTCTACTAGTTTCGAGTTACCGCGCACGCTGCTCATGAGGAAGAGACCCTCTGTAGTTCGAAACTAGTAGAGCTTTTCTTTGTATATTCACGTGAGTAACCCGTATTTTTAGTTAATATTGTTATGATGTTTTAACTATGTCTTACTCTAATGCTATTAAAGAGACCAAATTTTTTAGTTTAAGTGTTAACTTAAAAAATGTATAATGCAATTTATTTTATTAATGATGCAATTTAAATGTTTAATACTATTTATGTAATGATTAATAATATAATTATTCCAATAAAAATCAATCAAGTATTTAAAGCATTTCGTGATCTGTTATCTTTATTAAATTTTCTCTTATTCCTATGATTAAATGAAGATAAAAACAAAATTCTCTTTTTCACTCAAACATATTTGTGGTAATAGTGTTTGATAGAGTTACAAAACTTTAAACATCCCCTTACCTGATGGTAGATGGACACTAGATGGTAGAGATGATTCTCTACCAGATTTTAACCTCTTCAACAATGTAGTTGCATGTAACTTTCAAATATTATATGGTGGGCAGTATAGGGTAATAATAGGTACCTATCTCCTACGATTTTTCAATCTTGTTACATTATTACAGACCATTGTACTTGCTGATTTTACATGCAAACCTTACTACAGCTACTAAAAGATATCTTTGGATTTCACTTTTCAGAAAAAGAAAACAAATATTTATTTCTAAAACTTAACGTATAATTACATTATAGTCAGATTAACGTAAATATCACAATTTATACTAATATTATTATTCATATTATATTACTATTATAAGATACATTTGCAGATCATAAAATATACTAAGAAAAAATAACAATTCTGGGTGTTCACTGTTCATGTTCATACTTTGGTTGAGTAAAACAAGGAATGTACAATTTAGAAATATCTTCGTTTAGATACTTGTATTGTGATGCAATATTTATTGTTAGAATTAACATTAAGTAGCACCAAGCCACTAATATTCGATTTCATAAAAAGCAAAAAAGTTTTTATCACATTTTTATACTTTCGGATCGTTTTGATTTTGTTCATCGTAGTCGAGTAAAGGTTGTGTTTCAGAGTTCGTTGATATAGCTGATACGGTGTTATCAAGGGATCCGTAGACGGACGGACGCACTTCTACGTCGGGTGGTTCTGTATCCACGGTGAGATTAGGAGCCGAACTAGACGGTATTGCTTGTTCGCTCACCAATCTTGAGCTCTCGTCATAACCACGCGCCATTTGGTACATTGATTTACCTCGGAGTCTTCGACTGAAGGAGCTCCCTGTTGGGACAAGAAAACAGAATAAGGTTGATAATATAATCACACGACCATTAATTACTCTTGAAAGTCACATCCAGTAACATCCTGTTGATTTATCGTATTAAACCCTGTCTTTAAGTTACAAAATGGAAAATTCCAAAGTTTTTATACTATTCTTCTATAAATAAAATACATACCAACAACACCAAGATGCTCGGATATATCTCTCTTGACATCAGACACATCCCACATAGCGAGGAAAGATCCGAGGCATGATGGCGACGGATTTTGTGGAGACACATATGGTTTGTAAGAGAAACTGTAGTGGTGAGCTATTGCTGCTAAGAACATTTCTATGCAGATCAGAAAGTCCTGTAAAGAAAATTTTCTTTATTAACAACTATCCTAGTGACCGATTTCTCTTCATTCAGCTTGTCAAATAAAATCGAGACCACTCTGTTTGGTAGTGGACGGAAATGAACTAATTAGCATGATGACACTTTGCAGATGGAGATATGGAAAACGCAACTGTCAGCAAAAAAGCGGGGTCCAGTTTGATTTCTAGTTGATTATTAGGTTTTTATAAAAAATCTTAATTCTAAAGATCCTGGAATAGTTTCAGTTAGGGTCAACCCTCCCAATGAAATAGGCTCTTAACATAACGGGCTAAAATTGGGTGTTACATTCAATATGTGCCGTGCACCTCTGCCTGCCTCTAAAGGAAATACGTAGCGTCATGTTACCTTATTGGAACACATATAGGTCTGACTGCGATATTTTTTTACTTAATTACAAGCAAATGCAGCTAGTATCTACATACAATCAATTCAGTATTGCGTAAAATACTTTTGACATAATTATGAAACTCTTTAATTTAATGGCACTAGTTTTCCCAAGTATCAACAGAATTAGAACTAAATATTTAAATTCAATGGAGATGGGTTTCAAGGGCAACTAGTTTTCGTTTTGTATCTTATAAATAATTCTCATAAAATTAAATTGAAAACTGACCTGCAACTTAGAAGACATGATTTTTATCTTATTTGAATCTGAGATATCAAATATTGTTGATATCACGTCGCAATAAACCAATATGTTTATTATAACTCCTTGGCTGGAAATTAAAAATACATTATTAAATTACATTACATAATTTTAAGTTTTAAAAAAATTTTGAATAATATGTTATAACGAAAAAACTTACAAGAAAGAGAAGAACACCACAGCTTTGATACATAAGAATTTGCCAATTGGTTTCATAGGTTTTAATTCAGTTTTGTTGGCTCTGTAGAACAATACGAGACAGTACATGGCAACAAATTGTGACAAGTTGTTGATTGCTATCATGTATGGGAAAGCCACCTTTGGACTGAAGTCACTCTCTCCATAAACTCCGCATAATTCACAGATCATTGATATAACAGTTGTGATTGGCCTCACTACAGTGTATTGAAGAATTCCATGCTTGCAGTTATGAACAAATTCACTAAAACATAAAAGTATGTCAGTATAAATATTGTTTCTTGATAAAATATATTTTCTTGTTACATATTATTATAGTATATATGTATACCGTGCAGTCATATATGTATGACTGTACGGTATCACTTTGTGGGATCCACAAATTGTTGTTTTGAGTCCAGGTGTCATTGTGTATGTGAACTTATATGTTTGTAAACGCAACCACGACACAGGAGAAAATCCTAATGTGGGGCAACATTTGTAAAAAAAAACATTGCCAACACGCACTAAGCAAGCGTGGGGTCTCATTGTCAAACCTCTGAATGACAAGAGGCCTTTGGTCGCAGTGGCCACTTATATGCTGCTGATGTGTGTGTGTTATGTTAGATATCTTGCTATTACTAACTGAAGTATATATTCAGTTCAGAAGTATAAAAACAATTATTTTATCGTTATTCTTTATTGACTTGATGTCATTAAGATAGAGCTACTAGAAACTAATTTATTCATTGATAGCAAATAGTACATAACACTTGTATGGAAACAATGATTAATAAATAGAAATATAATAATGGTGGTTCTATAGAAAAAGTCATGAAGTAATCTGCAATGGTGTACTCTGTACATAATTTCTATTTTTACAATGGGACAATAGCTTATGCTAGTCTAGTATGATTTTATATTTTTCACATTAATTTGTTCCATCCATTATAACAAATATGTCATTGTTTTTATTGTAGTAGTATTATGTATGTTACACATTTTAATCTTTGTTTATAAAAGTTGTCTTGTACAGCTGCAAACTTGAAACTTGTAGATAACAACTTTACATTCAACCAAGCATGTCAAGTATAATAGATAACCTTGGACAAACCCTTAGTTAAGTAAAGGTTATTGAACACATTAGGTTTCTACTTCGAAACTTAGTCAGGTAATCTAGAATATTCTAAATATATTTATATGGACTAAGTTATCACATTTTATCTAATACTTTTATATTTAAGTGTGACTGATATGTATCAAATCATATCTTCAGTTATCAAATTGTTATAAACAAATAAATACAGATTAGTGTTAAAAAATAAGTTTAGGCTCAGTGGCATGTTCTTACAAAGGTTTGTTTCACAGTAGGAATAGTTGACAATGAAATTGAATTTAGTGTTATTGCTAAATTGATATTATTCTTTATAATTATTATTCTAATATCTAGTAACTCTTACCTTCCCATTTCCCACGGTGTCAAACAACAAAGGGGGAAAATGTGATAAACTTGTGGTTTAGTCTCCAAAAGAGCTTCCAAGTCATGATCTTCATTAAGATAGTTCAACAAATACTTCATAAAGTTATAGATTACATAAGCTTCATAACATTCTCTTAGAGAATCAACATAAATTGATTGTTCTGGGAATTCCAGGCCTATCCAAGCATTTAAAGCATATATTGGTACCATCCATAATATCCTGGAAAATAATGCATTCATTAGTAATTTAGTTTACAGGAAACAAGTTAATTAAATTAACATCGCTAGTCATGTTTATGTTATTAATAAGTACCTACATTGAAAAAAAGTAGTTACTTTTAGAGTATATTTTCTTTCAAATGTTCACACTTAATTTTATGTTCTGTATTTTGCTTTTATAATTAAATATCATAATTAAATTACTATAATTAATAAACAAACTATACACATAGCTTACCTTATAATATGTTTCTGAAGTATTGGTTTTGTATAATGTACTACATGTTGTGTTATTTGCCATATGGAAATGGGTACGGCAAGAAGTACAAACCCTCCAGCCACCAATGAACCTTGATCGGACTTCTTAAATCCATTGTTTATTGAATGGGCGATGAGGATGGGTACTAATACAATAATGAATACAACATAAAGTGCTATCAAGAAAGGCCTAATCCAAAGTCTCCACTGTCTTAAAAAAGATATAATTGTAGATGAACACATTATAAAACGATAGTATTTTGTACCATTTACGTGCCAAACATAATACTTTCTTCACTTTTTGTTTTTCGATTCAGCATATAAGCTCTCTATGAAGAAGCCTATTGCAACACAAAAGTGAAATAATAATATATAAAATAACAATAAACTTGTAATAAACAGCAATATGAATGTATTTCACAATGTTAAATTAATGCAGGTTTCTGTTTTCTATATTTTGTGACAACAAGTTGACGTAAATGAAGTGATGACAAAGATGCAAGAAAGATGACACAAGAGCAAACGTCAAACAAAACAGCTGACGGTCAAGAAAATATATTTTCAGCAACCAACCCTATTTCTATACCTTTCATGGCTCTTTCAGTTACTGAAATTTTATTTTCTTTACTTCAAATAGCAATAGTGAAAATATTCTCAGTTTTTCATGGAAAATGAAAATAAATAGTTTTTTCTTATTAGTAAATCAGATTTTAAACAAATGAGGCATTATTGCTCTACTAAAATGCCGTAATTTAATTAAATTTAATTGATATGAAATTATAGTTTAAGTAGGTAACAATTATTAATTTAAAACTTGTTTTTAACCATTTTATCTGGGTAAATATTATTTTTAAGCCTTGTAATTCTTCTAAAATTAAAATTTGGCAGAAACAGAGAACGGTAGATACAATCAATAGTGAATATGACAGAGACAATCGGTAGAACTCTGACGTCACGAAATACTTAATGTTGCCACACAAAAGAATAAATAATCTCGGAAAAGAAAAAACACTTTACAGGTGTTCGGTTTTTTATCAAAATGGTTTTGGTTAAAAGTTTTTAATTTCATTAGAATAATCCTTCTTAGAACATAGTAAATACTGCAATTGCATAGTAAAACCAAAATAACACAAGTAAACCGAGGAACCACTTATTTATGCATTTACAGTTATACGCGTAACACGTATTTTGTGCATCGAACTCAAGCATTGAATTAGGCCACATAGCGATCTCTCCCTAAAATACCGCTGTTCTGGTTGTCGACGTATCAAGCTAACGTGAGTTTGTGATTTATTACCGTGAGCATTAGCAATTGAACTTGTAAAACTTTACATGCAATATGAAATTAAGCATAAAATACGATAGATAGTGTATAAAAAGTAATATATTGTGAGTAGATAATTCGTATGTTTTCGTAAATGGGTCACCTCGCCATTCTTACGAGAAACAAGTTGTTTTGTGTTTTAGAGTTCTCTAAGTCATGAATTAGTGTGCTTTGTGTTACTTGGCGTTAACTAATAGCATAAAATGTGTGGTTTTGACGTGTTTATGTTTTCGTAGTTTGGAAGGCGGGAGAGTGATGATCAGAAAGCTCGCTACATGGTAATGTGATGTCATCAAAAGGGGAAACAGAGGCCGACTCCGGCACCGTGTCACCAAATTTATCTGCAGTCAAAAATGAACCGGTTAGTAAGCTCATTTGTTAACTGTATCTAAATTTTGGACTAGTCTGGTTCACTTCAAAAGTGTGTCGCCAGATCAGTTACGGGATAAATATCATTAATCAACAAATTTCCTTATCAAATGTTGCTGGACTATTAAGGAAAAAAAATTGATTACACCAGTAAACTTTGTGATGAAACCAGTATTAAAAAGTGTTTATATTTGCAACTAAACAGCATGTTAAATTAAATGGGAAAGTATAGCTAATCAAATATCCAATGTAAAACTGGTCTCCGTGTAAGTAGGGCAAATTACCAAAATGGCAAATATAATGGTTTTGCAGTGGTTGCTTACTGAGTTGTAGCATTCTAAATGAATTTATTATATAAGAAGTTTTATGTACTCTGATAAATATACACAATCAATTCCCATTAAGACTTCTCATAACAATCATTGCCGTTTCTCACAAGGTTGGTCTACTATGTTAATATAGGTTTGTACTATAACTCATAGTTAAGCTTATTAATGATTAGTTATCCTTATTTAATACAAACAAAATTCCAATCTACTTGTTATATAATATTATCTGGGAATAAAGGTGATTTCCACAAGGATGACTTGTTAGTATATTTATTATTCGTTGAGAACATTATTCAATGTGATTAACTAATTTGTTCAGAGTAATTATTTTTAAATTGAGAGTAATTATTTTTAGTTAACAATGTGATAGACACTTGTTGGGACTATGACATTGTTAAGAGACTGGGATTGTGATAGCAATTTAGTTTAATCATATTAATCATGTTTTTTGTCAACAGTAATTAAAAAAATAAAATGCATTTTTTATTTATTATGAGACTAATCACTAGTAAAACTTTTGCTTCTGTCTTGGAATTGTCTTAATTGGTTTAAATAGAAAGAAAAGTGCTAATTTATTAACATAGTATTTGTGTAAGTTATTGCTTTCTAGAACCTATTTGCTTATGTTTTGGAGCACTTATTATGATGTGGTGACCTAAATGTTTATTAGCTTTGACTATCAGTTAACTTTCACCCAAATTGAGATGGTAGTTTTGAGTGTGATGATTGGACTGTCCTATTTGTAGTGCTTATTATCATTACCTGATAAGGTAACCTTCTAGTGAGAACTTACTTTTGCCGTTTAGGTGTAATTCTAACTGGGAATTTAATCAAAAAATTCTTGCTTCACTTTCTAATTTGGAGCTAGTTTTCTAAACATTATTCTTCTAAATGTATTCTTAAGCTTTGATTTTCAGATTTCTAATATTAATACATGAGGAAAATAAACTAACTGATGTGTACAATCTTTAGATGTGTAGGCATCATGTGATTTAAATCAGTACTTTACTAGTATTGTCTTGTAGTGTACACCACTACCTTTGTTTACAACTTATGCACATTATAATACAATATTGTTTATGTATTGAAAGATACTATACACAATCTTCTTAAAGAAAACACAGGGTATTTTAGGGGCTGATATAGCAGAATGGAAGACATCAAATTGCTTATGCTGTTGTTTTTTTTTTTCAGGTGGCCACCAATAGCAAAGAAACTCCAAAAAGAGGTGGTACATTATTAAAATGTACCACATGCAATAGTTTTAGTACCTTAAGTAGTCGAGCCCTAACCACCCACATGGCCCAATGTTCCCCTGACAACAATAATGTGGCAGCTGCACAAAATGCTGATCCCCGGCCACACAGAAAGCTATTTGAATGCGATGTGTGCAACATGAAGTTTTCAAATGGCGCCAATATGCGTAGACATAAAATGCGGCACACTGGAGTAAAGCCGTATGAATGTCGCGTTTGCCAAAAAAGATTCTTCCGCAAAGATCATTTGGCAGAACATTTCACTACTCATACTAAGAGCTTGCCGTATCATTGCCCAATCTGCAACCGAGGATTCCAGCGCCAAATTGCCATGCGCGCACATTTCCAAAACGAACACGTTGGACAGCATGACCTCGTTAAAACTTGCCCCTTGTGTAGTTATCGTGCACCCACCATGAAAAGTCTAAGGGTTCACTTCTTTAACAGGTATGCTATTATTTTACATTATTGTTATAATGTTGTGGATATTTGTACTTTACATCATTTAAAAAGAAAAAATAAATATTTGTTTTTTATTTAATAATTTTTATAAATATATTTCAGACATGGAATTGATTTGGACAACCCTGGACCTGGGAACAACTCTTCTGTATCTCTGCTAGCTGCGGGTATCGCCAATGCCGCATATGCTGACGGTACAATGGACCCCAGCGCCATCAATGCGCTTGGTGCACTGGGATCCAGCCTATCCGTGTCCGTTGCTGCAACATACTCGGACAGTGGAGAAAGTAATGGTGCCCGCTCTGTGGACAATGCAACACCACCCATGCACTACTTGACCCCACACGTCGAGATTTCAATGGCCGACAATAACGAAACCTTCTCTCCCGGCCAAAACCATTTAGGCAACTCTGGTAATTATGATTTTAATTATCATGTTTTCTTTTACTAAATGAAATGTTCTTGAATTAGTTATCTTCATGAATTACGCTTTTTTATCAAATTTAGCCTTTATTGGTAATCTAACCATTGCAAAGAATAAGCACAAGGCACACAATCCTTTTGCCTTCTATTATTTGTGAAATATTGTTATAGTATTAATAATACAATTTACTCTACATAACTGTTACAAAAATAGACAAAAGGTCTTATCTTATATTTTACATTACTGGGACAGTTGTCTGTAAGCCTGATGACACATGCGACCAGTTTTCTCTCCAACCTCGAGAATTGTAGGCCAACACATATTAACCTGAAAGTAATACTGTGTTGTTATGTAATAATAATGTGGGAGCAAATATTGCCCTTGGGCTACAGAATATTATTAAATATACTAGCTTGTATTGTTGATAAACTTCAGTTTCATTTTCGATTCCTTTTATTCTGTCAATCTGAATCTTACTATTTTACAAAGAGTTATGTATCATATCACCTTATGTATATATAACGTTTGATTTTAGATTCGCGCATGAACGGCGAAGGGCCCAGCTCACCTCAATCTGGTGACAGCGCCATCGCTAGCAGCTCCCTATCAGCTGGACTACCTACAAATATAACTCCGTCCATTACTTTGATACCCATAAAACAGGTAAAATTATTTTCCACCTTTTATTTTATAGTACTCGATTTCAAGATACCAAAACTAGTTTTAGAGCTGTATACTTAGCATATTTTGTTTCCAATTTTCCAGGAACCCAACACTCAAGAAGAGTCTGCTAATAATGAAATGCGGGAAGGCGAAACAAATGGGGGCGATAAACGAGGCGTATCCTCGAGTCTGTCATCTCTGATCAAGGTGTCACCGCTAAAAAGTTTATTAAGAGAAGATTTGCGCCGGCGCATCTCTGCTCGTGGACGCGCTCGGGGCTCTAGCGTACGTTTATGTCGAGTTAAATAAGAAATATTACTTATTCCTATAAATTTGAACTGGAGATTAGGAGTTGTTCTTTCGTAGAAGGTTTAATATGACATTTCTTTGACCCTTATTGTTTCTGTTTCAGGCTTCACGCGCCTCTCCGTCGGAAGGCGGAGTGATCACTTCGACGCACGGGGACGCCGCCATGCTGCCTTCGTCTCTCGTATGTACATTTTGCTCCATAACATTTCCAGACTCCACACTGTACTTCCTGCACAAGGGCTGCCACTGCGACTCCAACCCTTGGAAGTGTAACATTTGCGGCGAACAGTGCTGCAATGTGTACGAGTTCAACTCCCACCTGCTGAGCAAGAGCCATCAATGACTGTTTGCAGGGGGGCCGTTCGATCACTGACTTTTGGTTTGATGATGCACTTGTCGTATGCTATGTTTGCATAGTCCGTAAGCACTTCGAAGATACTTCACCTTTTTATTTACATATTTACGGTTATTAGATACAATTAATTGTTTCTTCTATCTTGTTTTCTTTATTTAAAGTAGGCACTGTATGTTGAAGTGCTTCGAATATGCTATATGCTGAACGTCCCCCCGAAGCTATTTTATTTTAAAGTGCAAATTATGTCAAGGTATAATTATTTAGTGGTTATGATAGTTAAATGTGCGAAGATATTTATATGGATATTTTAGTACTTAAATAAAAAGGGATATGATATGGTGAAAAAAAAATTATAATATGAGATCATGTCTTATAAATTTGAGTTAATTTAAGACTTTGGAATAATATGCTGAAATTCAGCTGTAATTATTATTACTTACATTCCAAATTATGACGGATACATTCCATTTCGTGAGATTTACGAATTTTATGCATTCTTTGGTGGGGAACTACCTACTCAAATTAATAAAAATCTTAGTTTTATTTTCTTAAAGTACTTAACTGTACATTACCGTTATTGAAAAAAAAATCAATTTTAGAGTATTTTGGTGCGATAGTGAATTATACAAATGTTTATTAAAATAAAACTTATGGTGAAGAGTGTACAAATTAATATATATTTTTACATTTCGCTGTTGAGAAGTTATAGAAAGGCAAAGCCTATGATAAATCCGTGATGGTTTAATTATTGTGATTGTGTACAGACAGGAATTATAAATTCTACATTCCGTTTTTATTTATGTTTCCTTTTATAAAGTGCATGTGATGCAAGTCCACGACTAATACTTAATGTACAAGTTAAATTATTTTGTTGTTATTATTTATTTTTCTAAAATACATATTATATTATATTATACATTCTTAGAATTATAAATTTCATGATGTACTTAAAAAGTCAACCAACTTTATTATAGTCTTAAAGCACTTTCTGTTTCGAGTTACAATTGAGATGAATGAACCTAATAAAGCTAGAATTAAAGTAATATTTGTTAATTTAAAACAACAACTAATAATGAGTGGCTATACTTAGCACACCTTGCTCAATTAAGCTCAAGCACAGAGCATGTAGAGTGTTGTACTCGCACAAAAGCATAATAACATTAGTTCACATACATTTTCATAGTTTGAAATACTCCACAGAAAGTTGCATGTGCTTTTTATTGGTGCCTGCTACGATAATATTCGTTACTTATTATATAAAATTTCAAACAGGCATATTGGTTAATCACATTTGAGTTTTAAGCTCCTTATTTATGGATTAATCAAAATAGGTAAATTATATTTATTTTAAGAGAAATGCTCAACTTTGTGGTAAACCTTGTTCTTATCATCATTCTTTGTTATAAAATGAATTTCTTCTAATCGGATTCTATATTTGCTAGACAATCCATGCTAACTAAATTAAATTTAAGCATCGTATTTTTGTTTTATATAATGTAGAAGTTTTATCCTATGTAAGGTACATTGTTTGTACCACATATTCGTATTTGATGACATCGGTCGATCCGTTCCATTCTTTGTTTTAACCTGAGATTTACATTCCTTTAGCAATTAAGTACTTAATATCGGTTGTGGTCTTGCCTGATAAGTTTACTAAATTGACTTAGATGGAACTGAAATTATGTTTACCAACGAAGTTATTTTGTTTTGTTATTACATTGGTGTTAGGTTAGCAGTCGGCGCACGCGGTAGTCCGTCCGTGAGTTGCATGGACATAGTGAGTTACCTGAAATGAGCAACACATATTTATTTATAGAGATTCTTATATTATGCTGTTTCAATTGTTGGTTATGTAGAACTTGAGTGTTTTATTATATATTTTGGTCCCGTCGCGCCGCAATTTTAACATTAATACAAGTGTAGGTTAGCATAAGAGCTATTAATATTATTAATCGGTAACCCCCGTTGGGCGCCTTTACTTAATCCGTCCATATCTAATGATAGATATTGCCTTTAATATTTAATAGAGTAATATATTTTATAGATTCTAGGAGTAATTAAGAACAGATCTTAAATATAAAATGTTTTCAGAATGCAGAGGTTTAAAGATGTAGTTGTATTTATTTAACTTCTATTACATGGGTGCTAGCATTGCTAAAAAATCAACATGGAACATGAAACTTGCTGTACCTTTGTGTCACGCAGTGGTTCTTAATTGATTTGTTTGCAATGCAGCAATAACATTGTTGATTGTTGCGATTTGAAGTAAATATTTTATTTTTTGTGTGGTAGTAATACAAATTATAAACTAAAGTATTCGACGTTGTTTTAGAATATTGTTGAAATAAAATTAAATCATTAATCATGTAGATACAAACAGTATTTTTAAAGTTACATTTTTGGGAATTTTTCCTAATTGAAAATTATTGTCATCTATTGAAAATGATTGATTCCTACTTTGAAACTAGAGCAGCGTGACTTACAATAAATATTACACTAGATTTGGTGGTATCTTATATGTATGAACACTATAATATACACCATATAATAATTAATATTAAAAAACAGAATATTTAGTGTAGCGATCCTCACCTTAATACCAAAACACAGCTTACCAACATTATAATTTTATTTTAAGTTGTTATGTATGTAATAATATAAGATAGAGAAATTAACATGGTTGAAAGCAATTAGTAACTTCTAAGCAGATTGAATTTGTCGTTGATATTTTTCTGTTATTTTATTATATCAATATTAAGAGAAATAATATCAAACTGTACTAATATAAATAAATAAATAAAATAGGGTTACTACTTACGAGGAACCAGTTTGGAATCAAGAGTGATAGTTACTATATCAAATTGTAGCAGATTGTGCCTTAGATCAATAGTTTAATATTGATTATAATAATATCATGTTATATAAATATTATCATACATATTTTATTTTAAATGTGTGCATTTTTTAAAATTGTCACGTCCTTTTATATATACACCTACTAGAATCTGGTAAATCTAAACAAATGTTATTTATTCATGTATAAAAAATACATAAAATATAATTATACAAAATGGTTGTTATGCTTGTTTTCGTAGAAAAAGTTTATTTGCAGTTTATTTAAAAATTTTACTTGTTATCGATTGTGACGATAAAGAGTTATAAACATGTGGTACTTACTACCGAATATGTAGTTCTATTTATTTACTTTATAATAATTTGGTAAAGGGTCTAATGAAATATTAATAAACTATGACATACAATAAAGTGATTTTATTTCAATGGTTGTGGAATCCCCTTTAATTAAATGTTTATTTAAATTCTAATTATTAAATGAATAGCATCATGTATAATGTATAAGAACTCATGTAAGTACTTATTTACTTATTATACGCACAATTGGCCCACCTTTCCCTCTATTACATTGGATTCGGAGGTACCTATGTGTTACATTAATAGTCAGTGTACCACTGATGGTCCCTACAGGGAATAAAAGTTATGTTATTAGAATCTAGAACATAGATCTCACATTAAAATAAAGAGATGTCTACCTCTTAGGGCCCTCCCTCACCTACGGCGACTTCTTGTAGTGACGGAGAAGCGATGCTGTCGCGCGTCCGCACCGATAGTCACGCAGTGTATATTCTATCCGGGTCTCTAGTTTAATTCCCGATGTTATTGGAATTTCCCTATTGGCATTAATAATAGGTATTAAAATAGCATTATGCCTGAGAAATCAATAGACTTGTAATGAATCGAAAAAATATGTCATTAGTGGGTTTAGTGCCTATGTGGCACTAAAAGGCGTTATGCTAGGTACCTCTGATCTGATTTGTATGTTGGTATTTAATAGATTCCAGTTATTACATATTTGTACTTATTAACATAATTCTATTAGAAAATCATAGATACCCCGCAAAAGTTGCATATGTTTGTCGTATTCTTCTATGACCTATTTGTTGTTGAAGTGGCAACAAACAGTACAACTCATAAGGATGGTGCCTTACCTGTATAAGAAATAATTACGTAGGTAGGTATCAAGGTTCATGAGATACATCCTTCTGACGGTCAAACGGTCCGGACAGCGAAGTCCTAGTACAAAGTACGTAATAAAGTCCCAATTTTACCCTTTAAGTTTTGAGTATGGAACATGTCTGGTAATAGCATCATGAAGTTTATTTAGGTGAAAATTAAAGGAAGTTTGAAAATTGTTGTTTAATTTTTTATTTAATATAATTTTATAAAATTATTCTTATAATCACGCACGATGCGCGTAGGCTGTATAACATAATTCTATTGCCTATAAATGTCAGCCATGTTTATTCATGTCAAATAGTCCTTTTCAAATGTCAAAATCAAAGTTTTGTTGACAAAAAGTTAACTTTTTCCAATTTTTCTCAAAACTTTATCACATGAACAAAAAAGTGTAAAAGTAAATTAAAACATTCTTCATACATTATAAATTAATAACTTTCAGTGTAATGGGAAAAACGACGGAAGTTGATGGCGATAACAACCCAACTTTGCCAGAAACCGATCCTTCGAAGTTATTGGAGGCTGCCTTGCAGCAGATGGATGGGATTATAGCCGGTAAGTGGTACTGGCCATAAACTATGCCGTTCAATCTATTTAGAGAACCTGGTTCCTAATTTATGTGAACTAACTTAGCAACTTAAAACAATCACTTTGCTAATTTCATGGTTCAATGACTATTTAGGTCCTGATTTGTACCTCTAATTTGAGTGTGGATGAAGGTATTGTAGTATCTGATAGTCAAAGGGATAGTCAGCTTAACTAGTTACAGCGAGCAATTAGTTTCGAATTACATAAAACTTGATAACCTCAGAGAAAGTTGTCTAACTACTAAAAACTTTTTACAAGTTTTGTTTTCTGTAGTTTTCATGTCTCACACCTTAAATCATCTAGTTTTTTTAATGTTGTATTGGTATATTTGATGCTTTCACCCTAATTTTTACATTTGTGTACTGTCAACAAATAGAATGACAATTCACTTTAACTCGTCGAGTACCGGTTTTATAGACACAATTAAAGAACAATAGGTTGCGGTCACCGGTGACCGCTTGGTGTTTGACAGATTAAATCACTTCGATATGTGTCAAGTTATGACCTAGTATTAATAGTCAAACTAGAATATGTTTTGTTAAAAGTATAATTTAAAAAAGTTAGCTATTCCTTTCTCTACTATCAAGTATGCATTAAAACTAAAACTCTAAAATGTTTCTTCTTCCACAATATTTAATTAAGAACATCATTCACCCAATAAAATATAGCGTCCTATAATTCTGTTTTAATAAATTGTCAATAAAAGCCAACTTAGTAGAAGTATAGAAGTAATATTCAAAAATTTATTTGCAATAAGCTTGTACTTTATTACATATAACATACAACTGGAAAATAATTAGATAAGTCATCTATGATCTAATATCTAATTTGTTCTAACCCTTTGCAAGTATCGAAGTCCACATAATATACAGCATGACACTATTCACCAGCAATTGAGAGAAGATAAGCCATACTCAAGACATGATTCCGTGATATTACTCAGAATGATAGTAACTAAAATGAAAAAAATACAATAAGACTGCTCAACCCAAGAATTGATCCCGATACCCCATGTTTGGTATTGACTGCATCATAGCAAGCGTTATGATTGATTCAAGTTACATTAAACTGTCAAACACCAAGCGGTCACCGGTGACCGCGACCTATTGTTCTTTAATTGTGTCTATAAAACCGATACTCGACGAGTTAATTCTATATGAGAATTTATGTCTAGTAATTTAAGAAATAACTAAACTTGATTCTCGTATTGACTGCATCATAGCAAACATTAAGCTTAATATTATGCTTGCTATATATTACTTTTTTTTATTAATTGTGCTTTCTTGACTGCTATCTACCTTTGTTAATTGTTAAATAACTATTCATTGTTAAAAAGAATAACACAATGACATGACTAAGAAACACTTTCTTTGAATATTTAAACTCTATGACCCATATCTACCTCCATCCATTAGGACTATTAGTTAGGAAAGCATGATTGTACTATATTAAAGATCGAAGGACGTCATTAAAATTAACGTGATAAGTTTGGAGAATTAGAATTTACAAATTTTATTTTATCAAGAAATAAATGCGTCATTAAAAGAAATACATAAGACGTAAATGAATAAAGTTGTAGCGTAACAGGCGGATTGTAGGCTTTACAGGAAATAGGGGTGACGTTTTCGTGGGAGAGGGTGCAAACTGTTGAACAGAGGGTGGCGACTGGCGAGGCGCCAGTCCGCCGCCCGCACGCAGCCTCCGCGGACGCGTTGTCGTCCTTGCGATTAATGTGCTCGCGAAAAATTCCCCTCGCTATAATTGTCACCAAGTAATCACATAATAATATTTTTTTAAACATTAAAATTAATACCACATAATGACATAACAATCGCAAAGAATAAATCAATTAATGTTATTAAGCTCGAGTCAATTGATTGGAATGTAATTAATACACGTTGGTATTTATTGACAGTCGCGGTATTTCGCGTGTTTGAAAAGGGATCAGCAGAATTCCCGAGTGCGGATTATTTTTCGCGTAACTCAAAATAAAGTGGCTTGGAAATTAATTTACAACATTTAATTAAATTAGAAGTTGTTTGCTAAGCGTATATATGCGTTTGTGTAAATACACATTACTGTTGTAGGCAAATACCTACTACAGTAATTTAGAAAAAAAAAAATACAAAAATTCAGTATCAGACTGTATATAAAAATACATGTTTTCATAACTTAAACCGCGAAAATACTAACTTTAAATAAATATTAAATAATAGATATTTTTTCTTCAAATATAATGGAATCTACTTATAATTAATAATTCCAATAACATGCCATTCACACGTTTTCAATACGTTTTTAAACTTAACAGTCCATACTAAAATAAAAATTAAATTAAAATAACATTAGCTCGATAGGAAGTTCGGAAATACGTGGAATATCTAGTTAGTTAGAATAGTTAGTTAGAGATAAAACTTAGTTTGTAGTTGCACCATGTCATCTTGTCTTCGTATAATGAACACAGACAAGAGAATTTAATCTCAGTTGGATAGCGTCAAGATTAAATTTTTAGGCGTTTTTTCTTATCGCGCGGCGGCATCTTCATTTCACAAATATTTTCTCAGAAGCTTTTGTGATTTTCCTCTTATTATTTACCTTTTTATTATATTCGTTTAGTCACCTTTCCGCATTAACCTGACTTTCATTATTCCCCAATAATGACTTTCAAAAGTTGTCATGTCGTTTTGTATTGTTATCCCGCCGATGTGCTAGGCAGAGATGAAGGATAAAAGTACAGTCGAATTGAGAAACTGCTCCTTTTTTTGAAGTCGGTTGATAAAGCGCCATTCCTGGCATGACATGGCATAGATGATTAACTGCTCTAATTTATTAACTCATTCGCGTAATGCTTTTCATACAATGGAACTGTCAAAAGGCGATTCCATAGTTTTCAGTTCTAATGCGCAGAAATATGTACTTTAAAACGTTACGTAAACCCTTTCTTATTTACTAAAACAAATACGTAATTTAGATATAACGTAATAGGTAGTAGGTATCTGCATACTCAGTATATACTTAGTACGGTAAAGATAAGGACCGACCCTTAATAAAAACCTGTGTACTTTCTCTACAGTAAAATAGACCCGGATAGATAGCTGACCCGGCAAACATTGTACCGCCTTAAAAACATTTTTCTCACCTTTTAAACCCTCCCTGGACTTCCTCGAACGTTTCAGTTCACGTTCAGTCCAACCGTTCTCGAATTTTAGCGAGACTAACTTAATTTTTATAATAATATAATAGATAGTAGAATACATAGGTTATAGATATACATATATAGATAGAATTTTACTTAAAAAAAATATATTTGTCTAAAGTCTAAACTATGACCAATTAGTTCCCGTTATTTGTACCCAATACGGCTAAGGGGCATTAATGACAGTACCTAATGACGACGCCAGACTTCATCTAGTTACTTTTCTCTAACAAATGATGTGCCTCATTCGGTTCGGTTAGTTACCAGCGAGAGCAACTTCAATTTATTTTTATTCTTTGGACCAAAGAACTTTCGTAATTACTATTCCCTCTGTGTTTGTTCTTTGTATCTCCTACCTATTTTCTGTGTGTTCAACAGGTCGATCCGTATTTTTTGTCGAACATTTTCATCAGCCCTCGTAAATCCTACCTCTCATTTCCCAGGGTTCACTAAATCCAAACGGATGCGGTTTATTCGTATACTGTTTAGATATAAATAGGCTTTTTTCAGAAATCTATCTTGTATTTATCTGATCTTGTTACGAAGAATGAACATTGAATAGTGTTAAGCAGGGTGCACGGAAGAGATTCCGCCGAGTCGCTTATTTTAAACTTTAGTGATTAGTGATGGTGATGCTATTAGATTTATTGCTTCACTAGCTTCTGCCCGCGACTTCGTACGCGCAATCCCGATATTTCCCGTTCCCGTTCTTGATTTTCGGTAAAAAGTAAAAAAAAAAGAATTGGGTAAAAAGTATCCTATGTCCGTCTCCTGGTTCTAAGCTACCTCTCCACCAATTTTCATCCAAATCAATTTAGCCATTCTTGAGTTATAAATAGTGTAACTAACACGACTTTCTTTTATATATATAGATGAGTAACATCTTGTATCTTTTATTATTCATCTTAAAATAACCGATTAAATGTAATATTTCCAGTCCAAACGCATAATAATACACATAATAAAAAGCCAAATCTTATTTTAAAAACGTAATTAATCTTGTGCACATTTTATTTTTTTTAAAGTTCAATTTAGACCGCATTTAAAGTGCAGCGTACGAGTCAAACATAAAAATTACTTTCGAGCGTAGCCGAAGCGGGTCACTGGGATTTATACGTCCGTAATAAATTCGGTTTTCTCTACTAGGTCCCCGGAAGAAAGCTACTGTTCATCATCTTAGTGATTTCCGTGTGTTTCGTGTGAATTATTTTCGCTACGTTTTGTACAGGAAAATGTTTCCGATGCAGTCATTAAAAATGGAGTACCGTTCTATATCTGAATACGATAAAGAGTGAAAGACATTCGAAGTTTCAGTAAAAAGTGATGAGTTTGTGATGAGTGTTTGATGTGATTGCAATGCCGGGCTGTTGGCATTTACCAGAGCACGTGACTAGGTGGTGGCTGCTGGATATTTGTACGCAGCGGTTGTTTGGCGATACAGATGCTACGGATTCCCAGATACCGCAACGTATGCACATTTCATAATATACCTCGTTATATATTTGCTCTATCTTTATCCCCTAACCACAACAGTAGCGCTGCACACACAACGAGAATGCGGGGTCACATGTGGGCTTGTGCTAATTACGTGTCCGGTTATTTAATCCTGAAAATAAAAGAGCTTCTCATATTATTCGTGGTGGAGGCGTACCGTAGTATAAAGATATCGCAACGTCCCTACTATTATAACGAAGGGTAAAATGATGAAGATTTTTTTTGCTCGAAGCAAAAGCGCCATTGTTCATCGGCGGATGCAATTCACTCGGTCCCCGCGCAATTTGCGCGAGTGGAGTAATTTCGAAGAGATTTGTGTCGTGGCGCTTATGCTGGCTGTACGTTGGTTAATGAATGCAGATTTATAAGATTTTATTTTCTATTTGTTTTCTCTAATATATCTTTTTTCTTCTTCTAGTTTATTTTCACCTCTTCTTCTTCTTTACTTCTTTTTAGAACATGCAACTATCTATTGTGGTAAATACATATTATGTGGTTATAATGTACATATTCTACAATGAGATTCAGTGCAATTACAGAAGCTACATTCTTTATAGTGTTGCAGACGAGCATGATATTGTACCTAGATATACTTACGTAATGAAGTAGTAGCTGGCACAATTACGAATGTGCCGCCAATGAGGATATCCTAAAGCATTAGCTTTGTTGGAATCTAACTGACTATTACACCGATAGGAGACGACATGCACGAGAAACTATTGTTGGCCAATAGGCTGATAGTCAATTGGTCATTCAAGGAGTTATATGAACTAAGTAACTTTCAGACTGCGACTTCCCCCGCGAGGCGGTTTCTCTCGAGTAGGTACATAAATCTCGATTTGTAGGAATAACGGCATTTTGCTATTCTTTAAAGAATAAACTTGCTGATAGATATAATAAAGAAAAAATTGTTCCTAGAAACCAGTTCATAAAATCCATTTATTGTAATATAAATGACATACAATACATTATCGTCTCTATCCAGTTACATGTTTCATCCTTTACTCATCTATCCAATACCATTTAAACTACAATTAATTTCAAGAAATTTTTATCCCGTACGAACAAAAAAGGCTTAACTAGCATTTACTGTGCATATAAAGTTTTCTTGCCTCGTAGTGTGATCCTCTCCACGTCAAAACTCTATGCGGTAAAGTCGAGATAGAATAATATTATCAGGGTTCAGTTCGTAAAATACTTGAAGGTGATTTTGTACGTATGACTACGAAAATACAATACATAATAATAATAATGCCCATTGAAGCTCGTCGATGTATCGAATGACGGTATAATTTTCTGTAATTTAATATCAGATATTGATACTTATCTGAAGGTAGCTTAGTTGACACTGTGTTATTGATCAGCTAAGTTCTCAGTGTGAATACAAAAGTAAATTAAACAAAAATCTGGCACCTGACGTGGTCAGTGCCTGCACGTGGAAGTGTTCAAGACTTCTAAACCCGGTGTCTAGACTAACAACGCGTATTGCAAAGGCCAGTCAGGGAATGTGCGCGAGCCTCACCGACGCGGCCGGCCGTCCGGGCGAACGGGAGTCGGCGCACGCTACAAGCCAGCCGGTTTAACATCGTTAAACTATACCGTGAAATGCGTGACGTTTTCTTACTAAGCAGATACGACTGCATTGAGCAGCGATCAATGCCTAGTAAGTATCGACACAGCAGAAGACATACACTTCCACTTATCAAAACAGCCCACTTTACTACATGCTCAATCCTTGGAGAATCTTCATATCGCGATTCAGGGGTTTTCGTATAAAATGTATTTTAGAAGATTCAAACAGTTCTTATTCACTTGACTTTGCATATGTAGTACAATTTAAGTCAGAATTTTGATGGAAACTTTAATTTTTTCGAATTATTTCTGGTTTTTTCACCGATTTATTTACCTCCAGTCTGCGTAATATTAAACAACGCCATCTGTTGTGCAACGGCCTCGCGTTTGCGTCCCACTAAAGCCTTGTATTCGCGTAGTAGAGTTGATCTTTTACCTCTTACTTTTAAGGATGTACAATAATGTAATTTGTGTGGTTTTATTTGATCAATTCATTTCTATTTTGCTCACTACTCAGTACCCGAGTAAGATTTTTTGTGGATTGGATGTTTTTGTTTTGATTAGTTTTGGTCCATTTTTGTGACATTGTGTACTCTTTTGAAGGTCTTTTTCAACATTCTGTAATAGTTTGTATGACGTTACAGAGGCAGGTGGTACGGGTGGTACGACGAACTCGGGGCCTGGTCGTGCAGCTCGCGCCCGAGCTCTTGAGCTGGCTCAGCAGCTGGCCAGCTCCCTCCAACACGCTGTACCTCCTCCACCACGACCAGACTTCACCACCGCCAGTGCAATTCTACGATGGCTCCAACAAAACAACAACTCCGTCGCCCTAGTGAGTACTGTACAATTTTCTTTGTTCCCAAGATAAGAACTTACTTCCTTACCTTTGTTTACGATTGAATAATCATAGCGTCATTATGAAGACGCGACGGTTTTATGCGCGACTCGAAGAAAATTTATGAGTTAAGATGAAATACATTCATGTACAGAATACAAGTAAATGTTGAGGATATTTTAATTAGTCAGTTATAGTTTAGTGAGTAGTAATGACTGGTGGTATATTGAAATTGGTTTCTCTCGTGAAGACCATAATGAGACTGGTAATTATTTAAAACAAATGAAAACTTTTACCTACTTAATCCTTTTTGTTTCGCTCTCCCGACCTAATTTCCAAACTAGTTAGGAACTATGTGGTATTGGGAGCATTACTATTATTTTCTATCCCTTTCCATACCCCTTAGTAATCATGTTTTAAGATGACCGTCATACGTAACCGTTAACAGTAACAAAAATATTTTTTTTTGCTTTAAACATAATTTAATTTGTTAGAGAAATGTATATAATTATTTTCTTATAGTCTATATTTGCGAAGGTATAGCATTAAACCGTAACGTATGTCCTTACATAGGAATTACCTCGTAGAACGAAGCTTTTCTCTCAGCAAACAACGTGAACGGCAACTTAACAGCTCTTACATTGTGCAAACTCGACGGGTCTGGAAGAAACCTTATTCTTTTTAGAAAACAAGGATTTTTATTCTACCCCAATAACCCTCTCTCAAATTGATTCTACGAAAAAGAAAATTCTTTGTCAAATGTCTATGGAATTTTGAAGATCAGTAGAAAAAGTCACAGACGTATTCCTACGGGAAAAAATGTCGGGGATTTGAAAGAATAAATAATTAATTAATTAATCTACAAAGCTTTGAATGTTGGGCCGGTTTATAAATTCAATCTTAGTTAAAAGGGAATTAGGGGGTAGAGAGTTGTGACTTTTCGATATAATTTCCCTAATTATGTTTGGTGCTTTGCCTACTTAATAAAGTATTAATTTCAACTTTACATTGAACCCCTATTAAAGATGGACTTCAATTAACTAATTGTGATTTTGTTACTTATATGTTTCATTGTTCCGATCATGCGTTGTCCAAATAAATATCTGATTTACAAATAAATATCGTTTAAAAAAACTGAACTGCTACAAACTCCACGGTTAGATCCTGTGCCCGTGCAGGTCTTGGTTACGCTTACCTACGTTTAAAACTCCGGTCATAAAAGCCTTTGGAAGCTGTGTGCGGAAGGGAACTAATTGCACACCCATGGTACGTTTGCTCGCTGACGTGAATACATTCGCAACAACCCTACATACATAGCACGTGCCTCCCGCCTCTGTCTTTACATTTTCAGGCACGTCATTAAACTAATGTCACTAACGTTGCCGTACTCACTCAAACGAGTTAATAAAATTTGGGAAAACAGTTTGTTAGCCAATCGTTTTTCGTCCTAAACAAATATTTGCTACTGAAAGCTCTAAATATGAATTTGTATGCTTATAACAAAACGTTGAATATTCAACGCATAGTCGAAATGCTGACGGTATACGTTCCTAACTTGGTTACCTGGCGGCGGGAGCGGGACACATCTCAAGTGGAAGTTAGTTGGAGGAGCTGAAGTTAACCACAGATCCAATTAATTCGATTCTATTCCATTTATGCAGATACTATACGGTTATTAGTAAGACGCGCTGTAATCGACTTTCCTCTTTAACAAATAATAAAATTCTTTTTCTCGTTAACAAATAATAAAATTATCTAGCTTCCGCCACTATTCCTACGTAGGTATCTTTTAATATTTTCTCCAGTCCCCATTTCTGAAGCGCTTTGTTCCTTTAATTTAATTGTGAATTATAATGAAATTTTGCAGTCCTCGTCTATGCTTTTATTTTGTAGAAGCATACTCGAATGGTTTGACATGCAAAAGATAGACCAAGAGTAAAGAGCTAAAGTACCTAGGTACCCACTTTCAGACTAGTCTGAAGAGCTTTTACTAAATCATGCAATAATAATAAAGAAATCACAGTAAGGCACCTTAGACTTGGTTCAATTTGTCTAGAGATTTTATTACTATTTAGAGTTAAAAAGACAGTGTAATTGAAACTTAGCTATTTTTTTACAGAATATTTTTGGTGGGATTTCGTTTAACTGATGAAGACTGGCATAACATTTTATTTGACTTTAGTATTGCAAGTGCTGATTCTAAAATTAATGCTCAGGTTTCACATAGGGGCATAATGAAGTCGCGAATAAGTGCCTATTACGCTGCCATAAATGTTTTATGGGTAGTATTTAGCGCAATCATGCCGTAGATGCGACTTGGAAAATAATTATATGCGTATATTGAGTCTCATCTTCTAAAACTCCGTGATATTTGATGGAACCACTATTGACACGTTAAAAGTACAAGTTATTAAAGGTACAGCTTCTGCCTGCCATATTAAAATTTTTAATATAATACATGTTTATCGTTAACCTTCGTTAATTCACAATAGATTAGCGTTGTAAATAAACAACAATCGTATCGATATCGATCCCTTATCAACGTGTGCACGAGTGCCGTCGCTCCCTGAACAAGGGGCTGTCCGTGTCCCCGCAGCTTGCCGACAGCTGTCTGTCTGTGACTACCCAAGTAGCTTTCAGCTCAATGAACACGTCGTGACGCAAGGCTCGTTATAACATGACAGCTCTTACAGGTTAACACCCCACTCTAAACTGATTACTGACCTAATATTTTGTTAATTTACATTTTTTTATTAATTATTATGGCTATTATTATGCCTCTCCAATTGGAAACGAAGACCTATATAGTCGATTTGAGTTTTGAGTGGGCGTGCTATTTTTGTATAAAGGTCTCATTGGCGGATGCAAACGAGCTTAATACCGCAAATATCAAGTTATGACCATAATAATTACTGAAATACATTACTCATCTCAATAAAATATTCGTAGATAAGACGATAATTTGTAAGATGAGATAAATGTACGTATTTAAATACATTTCATTATTGTATTACATTTCCTCCGCTGCCTATGTAAATAATCCTAATCCGTCGCATAATTCGTCAGTCGAAATTGCCAATAGTTCGATATTGAGAAATGAACACTGGGCTACCAGGTGACACGTATGCGATGAATGCGCTCTGTTTACTGACCAGCGTTGAACCTCGTGGCTGAATGGACCTCATAAGCTGTGTGCACCACTTAGGCATTCATTGCCGGCTGCCTGCCTTACAGCATACGGGGTAACTAACCTCCCTTGTGCAATGTACGCTGCATGTAGTTCGCACTACCTATAGCATATTATAAAACTGTTGGAAAGCATCGAATAGTTTGCGTATAACTTTGTGGAAACCGAATACTAATATGAAGCTTATCTGGACTGCCCATATTGAACTAAATAACGACTGATTCTAATCTCGATTGTAGTGGGTTATTTTAATGATGTTCCAGTATAATATTCCATAATTATATTGATTTAGTTTTTTGTTGCCTATTGGTAGTTACTGGACACAATTTCAAGCTACTGATAATTGAGACGGCGTTACTACAGAACATTAAAAAGAAGTTTTAGTTCAATGTATTAACAGCATCAAAAATATTGAGCCTGTAAAGAAAATTGCATTGAATATTACTATTGTAGAATGGCATAACATTTTATTTATCTAGTCTTACTTGGTTTACGGTGGAATTGATGGAAATAGGGCAGAATGGATAACGTAAGACAGCATGGATTAAGGTATTGTGATCCGTTCAAATAAGGATTGATGATCAATCTGATCCGTAAGATTTATTCCGGAATTCCATACCTTCTTTAGTGTACCTATGCAAAACTGTACAAATGCTTTCAAAGTTGTTTGATTTAGTATCGAGATGTATGAGTATCTCAGTACTTGCTACGTTGAACGCTGAGGTCTGTAATCTATTTCAAGTGGTCCTGCTCTTTAAATAAAATAAAGGTCGTTGTTCGTCGTTCCTTTGATTCAATGACTACTTATTTAAGAGCATAATTTCAGCCTAGTTTCCTCCCGAGAATAGGTGTAATTAGGAACAGCCCTTAATAACTCGGTTAGTAAAGTTGGCTGCTGTTATAACTTTAGCGTTGTACGTGACATGTTGAACTTGGTACATTTTGTGCGATAATAGCCCTGTGCTTTGTAAAATATTTAACATTAATTTCACAAGGTAGGAAGCGCTCGCCGCAGTCTAGTTCCAGGTGAACGCGCGTTCCATTAGCGCTAATTAGAATTTCTCCAAGCTTCCCGCTCCCCACGTTCGGGATCCGTATTTCACGCCTCTTATCTATACCAATAATAAAACCGTTCCAACTTAACGATTCGTACGTGGAAAAGAATTTCCGATGAGTCTCTTTGGCCCACTTAAAATTGACGGCACCGCACAGCCCGATTTTAAACATCTCTTGTTCCTTTGTGTTGGCGGTAAAGCGCTGTGCAATAGGTACTCTCATTGATTGACTTGGAAGCTTAAGGCGATATCGTAATACTCAAAGCTTATTATTTATTGGAGAAGAAAATGTATACCACACTTTGCCGGCTAAAAGAGGATAAATGCTCCAAGACAATGTTATATAATTTTGGTGGTTTTGCAGCCACTTTGAGTTTTTAAAGACCTGTGTAGTTCTGCATAGAGTTTAGCATTTGGAAAAGTATGTTATATGATTCTATTTAATGTCAATAACTTTCTTAAATTGTTAGTGGATGTATTACTACGAAGCAATTTATAATGAAAATGCTTTAATTTATTTATTTACTACATAAATTGATAAAATGTAACTCTTTAATTTACAAGATGGGTTCGACATCAACAGAATTTCAATTAAAATGCCGGGCACTCGGCGTTTGATCGGAAAACTCGAGCAGGGAGCGCGAAATGAATTTATTTCTACTATATAATAGGTTATAAATTGAGATGTCGATGAGACTGTACGTTAACATCAATACTGCTATGTACTATACTATTGTTATATATCGTAGTTTGTG